AATGCCTCCTTCTCCAGCCAGTTTCAGGTTCTCTCCAAGCTGGTCATCATTGCGATGCAAATCCGAGGCCGTCATCGCGGTCTGCCCTATGCCTTGGACCGCGCCATTCTGCTCCCTTCGGAATCTCTGAATCAGAACGAGATCGCGGACGCAGAACGGCGTATGCGTCGTCGCACCTCTAGCCTTAGCCAGATGTCTATGGACCGCCAGCAATCTCAGGGTCGACCGGAGCACGGGGCTTCTACGAGTCTCGACCCAAAGGACCGGGCAAGCCAGACATGGAACAATGGCGACATCATCCGTCGTCAGTCGACGATACGGTCACAGCGCTCGCAGCGCTGAAAAGTATCTTGGTTGTGGTGGCATATTTGTTTTTTTTTAGACTTGGGTGGGACTTGTCCGTTTGTCTGTTTTAATTCGTCCCTTCTTCCGTTTCGCTAGCTGGCGGGCCATGCTAGAAGTCCTTGTGGTATCTGGCAGTTAAGGATGTTCTCTGCAGCTAGGTACCATATCGGTCCTCCAACAACGAAAGGCAGAAGTAACTTGAGGGGATCTCGTCTATTTATATTCGTTGACCTGATCGAGCCTGCTTGCTACTTAAGATGCTATCTATGCAGGAGGTACTTGGCCGATTGAAGCAACAAAATATGTTGCCCAACGCGGTCGGATCACTCAAACTCTCAGTAATGAGTAGACGGCGCAACACCAAGCCACATGTACATAGACGCAGTTGATAAGATAGCCAAAATATACCACTAGAGAAAGAGTAAGAAATTTAATTTGAGTGTCGCAACTGACTAGCCTGTTTCTGTCTTGACTCCACGCCACCGGTATCCATACAGTGACAAAAACAATCGAGTCTTTGATTTGGGTATTCGCCCGGCTGGTGCACCATCAGGATTTGTATATCAAAGCCTACAATTTGATTCACAATTAGTTCCTATATAATATCATAATTCTCTTTCTTCCATCTTTCTCCGAGACATGGTCTCATTACTGGACCATAGTGATAATCTAGACTTAGTTTCTTCTACAATAAATTAAGTATAAGTTGATATGTTCTTTGAACATTCTCTATATCACTATATCCATGGCTCTTTTCGGGAAATTATTGCTATACTCGAGAACAATACTAGAATAAAAGCACGAACACGAAGTCACGAAACCCCGTGTATACAACAGTAAGAGCAAATAATGCGGTCGAACACGATTGAAATAGACAGTAAATGAATGCCACAACTGACAAGTCAGTTGCCTACAAGCTACCAATTTTCGCCCCTAGCCACTCCCTACAGCCTACCTGCGTGTTCCCTCGTAGGTATGAAATGCGTAGCCTTTCAGGGACATTCAAGCAGTGCATAGTCCTTGAGGTCTCTTACCAAACTTCTTCAGTGTCGATATATACGGCTTGTAGGCTTAGGTGTTCTCCTGGTCGACTAACTTTTGCAGCCGGGAGGAATCTACTTACTATGTAGACTAGTCTAACAGACGTGACGGGGTGGAACCTGAGATAGTTATGTGATTGTCCTCGGACTATTGTTATTCCCTTCATCCTGGGAACCTTGGTTCGACAGCGGGGACATCCTCACTATATCTAATACTACTACTATGGGACATCCCCCCTCAACTTCAGGGACAGCATCGGCAAGCCACCTACGTATCTCTTTTTAAATCCTTCTTCGCTGTGATATTCTCAATTATTTCCTGAGCATGTCTGTCCAGGAACCAGATGGCTATTACGACTTCGGTTCCTTCAGCCGACCGGTGACCACCTCCAGCCCTCAGGCTCAAGTCTGGTTCGACCGCGGTCTCATCTGGACATATGCCTTCAATCACGAAGCAGCTGCCAACTGTTTCCAAAAAGCCATCGCACATGACTCGACCTGTGCGATGGCACACTGGGGTCTTGCATACACCTTGGGTCCCAACTACAACAAAACTTGGCAATCCTTCGACGAGCAAGAACTCGAGGTCGCCGTGCAGCGAACCCACGAAGCTGTCGCAGAGGCCCAGATACACGCCACAACCACCCAACCTGTGGAAGCAGCGCTCATCGCAGCCCTGCAACATCGATACCCCCAGAATGTGGCGCCCGATGACTTTAATGGCTGGAATCAGAAGTACGCTAACGCCATGGAGTCCGTTTACTTACGCTTTCCCAATGACTTGGATGTGGTGGCTTTGTACGCGGATGCCCTCATGAATCTGACTCCATGGGCCCTCTGGGACTTACGAACTGGTCTGCCTGCAGCTGATGCGCGCACTGTGGATATTAAGAAGGTCTTAGATCTGGCACTGACCCAGGACGAGGCGCTACGACACCCGGGAATCCTGCATCTATACATCCACTTAATGGAGATGTCCAGTGAGCCAGAAGCAGCACTGAGGGTAGCAGACCATTTGCGGGGTTTAGTACCTGATGCAGGCCATCTTAATCACATGCCATCGCATTTGGACATTCTCTGTGGTGACTATCGACGGGCGATTGCGTCGAACTCGGACGCAATTCGAGCCGATGAGAAGTTCCTTGCCCGTGAGGGTGCAGTCAATTTCTATACGCTATACCGATCGCATGACTATCATTTCAGAGTATATGCGGCGATGTTTGCGGGGCAGTCGCAAGTTGCGTTGGAGACGGTAAAGAGTCTAGAGTCATCCATTCCAGAGCAGCTCCTGCGTATCGAGTCCCCTCCTATGGCTGACTGGCTGGAAAGCTTTGTGAGCATGAATGTACATGTTCTGATTCGATTTGGACGTTGGGAGGATCTTCTTGCTCTTGAATACCCGCATGACACGCAGCTGTATTGCGTCACCACTGCAATGATCCAGTACGGAAAAGGTGTAGCGCTGGCTGCGCTTGGGAGGATAGATGAGGCGAGTCAACAGAGCGCGTTGTTTAAGGAGGCTGTGAAGCGCGTACCATACAGCCGAATGCTATTTACCAACAAATGTCTGGATATTCTGGCCGTGGCTGACGCTATGCTGGATGGAGAGCTCGAGTATCGCCGTGGCAACTATGACGTGGCCTTTACCCATCTACGGCGATCTATTACCCTGGATGATGGATTACCGTATGACGAGCCGTGGGGGTGGATGCAACCGACCCGCCATGCGTACGGCGCTCTCCTGCTAGAACAGGGCCATGTCCAGGAGGCAGCCGCAGTGTACCAGGCTGATCTTGGATTTGACGACACGCTGCCTCGTGCAAGGCAACACCCGAACAACGTATGGGCGTTGCATGGGTACTACGAATGTCTGAACAGATTGGGACGAACGGCCGAAGCTCAAATTGTGAAGCCTTTCTTGAAGCAAGCAGTTGCAACGGCCGATGTTCCAATCAGGTCATCGTGCTATTGTCGTCAGGGAATTGCAACATTGTGTACGCAAGAAGCTAAACCGCGGGCCGCTAGATTCTAGACAGTATATCCAGTGCTTTGCTCTATCCACAAATTGATATACCCCATCGGAATTTTGCTTCCTCTGGCTCGCTGACTCGCAGGGAGAGACGAGCATAATCGCGGCCTGCAACTCCCTTATAGACCTACCAACGACCTATCATACCGGAAAGCGGCTTTGAAAGCAGGCCTTCACGCCAATGCCGGCCTTACGAGAGTCTCGCCGGGTAGCCTTCAACACCTGCTTTGACAGCGGTACTTTATTCTTTGAAAGTTAAAGCCACTTTCCATCCTTGGTCAGTCTCGTATCGCCACCAAGAAAACTCACTGAAGGCTACCCTTGGCGGAGGTCTTATCGATTGGTCGAAATGCCTCATACTATAAGTATTTTCTCCTCTTCTGTGCGCGGGGTTTGGCACTACACCAGTACGTCTTCAGACAAGCCCACAATCCGCATCCATGTTGCGCCGATTTGATATCACGGGAGTCTAGAAGTTCAAAGAAATGTGTTGACTCTGGCTTGTTTCTCTTATGTGGAGGAGAAACTAGCGGTCAAAGAATGAGCGGGCTGATTCGTTGATCGACTGAGTAAACGAGTGAGCTGATGGCGACATAGATTTAAAAACAATGATGGTGCAGAGAAGGAGATTTATACCTTGTTGCTCTGGTGACATTTTGTCTCTTGCCATCGACCCGAAGGGGCTTGAGGCATCAAAAGGCATCGCAGCTCCCACCAAGGGTTTCAGTAGATTGTGCGCTATACAGCTTGCCTATCTGTGTCCTGTCACACACAGGGGCCAAGTAAACCGGGAGATCTTCATGGCTCAAAGCTTACGGGCCAACGGCCCCTCCCGCCCACCTTAGAATCACTTCATATGAATATCTCCCGTCAGATGCGGATTCGAAACTCTCTAAAGTGGGGTTATGCCTTGCATCATGTGCGCCCAACACAGAGACCGGAAGGTATTCATAACATAAGAGGGTGGATCTAAGGTGGCGTGTTGGAAAAAGAGTGGTAGTTTGTTGGCAGTGCTGTAGTATATAACAGCTGGTATCCCGGCTAGTAGGGCCGCCGTCTAATCTTCCCCCACGCCCTTCATATAAAGCACTCAACACTTGTCTTGGATCTTGTTTCCTTGACTCCCTGATCACTCCTTACCATGCACAACTTTAGCGAAGAGTTCCTTGCGCGCCCGGAATATCAAGTTATCAAAGCGTTTGTCCAGAATCCCGATGTGTCTCCTGCAGAGGCAGTCCAACGGCTTCTTAGGGTGCGTGAGGTCTTACATCGGGAGGGACGGGAACCCCCGACGGATATCGATGGCACACACACATGGGTTACCGTCGTAGATCTCGTGAGCCTTACCCCAGCTACGCAGCAGCACAAGTTTATAGAATTTATCGACCATTTCCAACGCACCAAGGTTATCGATCCTGTCTCGGGTGAAGAGCCAACGGCGGTGGACATGAAGCTGTGGACCGAGCTCCCCTACCTCGGAGTGTACTTGAGGGATTATGTAGTTTTTCAAATATGAACCGGTGCGTTACACCTATTCCCTGATATATTTCCTCAGTTAATTCCGCGGCTGACTCTGCAATTGGTGCCACGTATAGAGTACTCCCAGCAGGTCGACGATGATCCCCGAAGGGAGTATCCTCCGAGTGAACTCCAGGAGTGGGAGAACCGCAATGCGTTCATGGTGCAGCTTACCGCGAAAGCAGACCATCTCGGCCATACCATTGATGCATCACTATATGCGCTATGGGCGTGCCGAGAAACGTTTGAGGAGTGTGATCCGCTGGTGGAAGAGGCTGTGCGTATATCATGTATCTGGTATATTTATGCCAGCCAGCGGATGTGGGAGAACTGCCAGGTCCGACGAACATTCGGAGACGCTGAGAATCCTTCTCCGCGACAGCGCTTTACCATGAAAAAGTGGTATCATTGGAGGAACGGCTTGAAGGCGGCACAGCTTCAGTTCCCCCGGGCGAGTACGCAAGAGATGATACAGAAGGTATTGACAGAGATTGAGAAAGCGGAACGTGGGGAGTGAGGATCTGTAGGGAATGTCCTGATATCCAGTCGTGAAGTTCAGGATATATTCGAATTCAAGTACTCGTCACTTCAGGGCTAGTGTTACTAACTGGCAGGGCCCTAGTGGCAAAGCATGAATGGAACCTGCAATCTGAATCGCATGTTTAGTTGAGAGTATCAATGTATCGGGTAGCCGTCTGATCAAGACGACTGTTGCATGTTGCCGAGCTGCCTATAAACGACGTTATGTTCAGGGATTTTCTTATCCAATATAAATATTATTCACATGATCTCATAATTTCCTCAGCGTATTAGGCCTTCGATGCCGTTGTATAACCTTATTCCCGTTATAATAGGTTATCGTTTGTTGGAATGATCTGGATGGTGGTTAGTAGATCTGATCGGCGCCTCATTCGGGAGATTGCGATCACGTGGAGCACCTTGTCGCAAGTCGATCCCCCCCACTCACATCCGCGTCCGACGTCACTACTCTGGTCGCCGTTTTGATCCTCTTGTCGCATAGGCGCTGCGCGCTAACAACCGAGATCACATATGATGCTGGTGCGGGCTTTCACCAGCCTCTGTCTTTATCATGGAGAGTCTGGATGAAGTGTCCCTCTCCCGTGAAGCCGCGGAAGACAAAAGCCTCGGCCCACTGGACGACCAGTCCTCCAGAGCGGTGTCCCTGATAGACACCAGTTCGCCAAACTCTACCTCAGATGTCAACCTCCCTTACGCCGATGCCTCGTTTACCTCCGGCTCCAGCACCAAGTTTCCGGAAGAGCAGCCTGAATCGGCTCCGCGGAGCTTTATCGATCATGAAGATGGCCTCCGATCGCCCCGCGCAGCCTCCCCGTTCACACCATTACATTACGCGTCCCCAGCAGTTCCTGCCCTGAGTGAAGATGGGGTGGAGGCAGGAGATGAAGAGCCCCAGGTTGCAACGTCCTTTGAGCGGGATTCTACGCCGACCTCGGCGCAAAAGCAACGCTCGGCCTTCTTCGACACCGGAGGAGATGAAGGGATCAATCGCATGCACAAGTTCTCCTTGTATGAGACAGCCACCCGATTCTACATGGTGGGCATGGACTTGTCGGATACCCGCTTCAGGATTCTCAAGATCGATCGGACGTCGGAATCCGGGGACCTCAGCATCTCAGAGGATGATATTGTTTACAGCAAGCGGGAGATGAGCCAGTTGTTGGATACGATCGATGATGGGAATAAAAGGTCGGGTGGTTTAAAGCTGAAATGCAGTGCATGGGCTTTACTGGGGTTTATACGATTTACGGATGCTTACTACATGCTTCTGGTAACCAAGAGAAGCCAAGTTGCTATGCTCGGAGGTCACTATGTATATCAGATCGATGGAACGGAGCTCATCTCGTTGACGACTTCAAGCTCGTCTCGTCTCCGTCCGGAGAAGAACCCGGAGGAGGCGAGGTATATTGCCATTTTAAACAATTTGGATCTAACCCGGTCCTTCTACTTCAGCTATTCTTACGATATTACCCACACTTTGCAGCACAACATTTGTCGGGAACGCACCGCCAACCAGGACGGACACCCGAAACACCTACAACAAGACTATAATACGATGTTCATCTGGAATCACCATCTTCTTGGGCCGGCCCTCGAAACTCTGAAAAATCCGTGGGAATGGTGTTTGCCCATCATCCACGGATATGTCGAACAGGCTAAGATGTCAGTGTACGGACGGTTAGTTTACATCACGATCATTGCGCGACGCTCTCGATTCTTCGCAGGGGCCCGTTTTCTGAAGAGAGGCGCGAATGATCTAGGCTATGTAGCAAACGATGTTGAAACTGAGCAGATTGTGTCCGAGATGACAGCCACGTCTTTCCATTCTCCCGGTCCAAATCTCTATGCTAACCCGCTGTACACCTCTTACGTGCAACACCGTGGGAGTATTCCGCTCTACTGGACACAGGAAAACTCAGGGGTGTCTCCCAAACCTGATATCGAACTAAACCTTGTTGACCCCTTCTACTCCGCTGCTGCACTACACTTTGACAACCTTTTTGAAAGATACGGCGCACCAGTTTATGTGCTCAACCTGATCAAGTCGCGTGAACGAACCCCACGGGAGTCCAAGTTGCTCAAGGAGTATACGAACGCCATTCAATACCTGAACCAGTTCTTGCCGGAGGATAAGAAGATTATATATCAGCCCTGGGACATGAGCCGTGCCGCGAAAAGCAGAGACCAAGACGTTATTGGAACTTTGGAGCATATTGCAGGCGAGATTGTCCCGAAGACCGGCTTCTTCAAGAACGGATACGATGCAGAGTCTGGCTTGCGTCTGCAAAATGGCATCGCGAGGACGAACTGCATCGACTGTTTAGACCGTACAAATGCCGCGCAATTCGTGATTGGAAAGCGCGCCTTGGGATACCAACTTCACGCTCTGGGTATTATCGATGGAACGACTGTGGAGTATGACACCGATGCTGTCAACTTATTCACTGATATGTGGCACGACCACGGTGATACCATTGCAATCCAGTATGGAGGCTCGCATCTGGTAAACACTATGGCCACATACCGCAAAATCAATCAGTGGAGTAGTCATTCTCGCGACATGGTGGAGAGTTTCAAGCGGTACTACAACAATTCATTTCTCGATGCCCAGCGCCAGGAAGCCTATAATCTGTTCCTTGGGAACTACATCTTCTCCCAAGGACAGCCGATGCTGTGGGATCTGTCAACCGATTATTACCTGCACCACGCTGATCCGCGATCCTGGTCCAACAAGAGGCGTCCCAACTACATTTGCTGGTACACTCCTGAGAATCTGAAGGAAAAAGAAGTGCCACCCCCTCCGCGACCCCCAAAGGAACCTCTCTCCCACTACGACGATTACTGGCTCGAGTACTATAGGCCATTAGCCGTGTCATCATTCTCGAAAATCTTCTCTTACAAAATGAACTCAACGCTTCGCTATCTTCCATTCCGGCCTGGCTCCGGCGCCCCCTACGACATTAGTCCGTTTGTTCCCCGGATCCCGCACGATCAGATCAACCGGGAGCGACACCCACCACGTAGCGTCAAGATTCAGGAACCGCTTAAGACTTCCATTGATCCAGCGGGCCGTTCACAACTCGGTAGCGCAACATCCCAATCCAGCTACAACTGGAACCATCAGCCGCCTTCCGCTGATAAATTACCACCGTCTGCGGGTATCATGAAAGCTACATCATTCGGACTGCCTCACTCCTTCAGTTCCATGCACTCTTCTCAGGAGTCGACGGTCAACACTCCGAGCAAAACGCAAATTGCGCAGTGGACTCTTGGCCAGCTGGTGACCGACTCGCTAAACCCCTCCGTGACAGCTGCAGAAGGAGAAGAATACGAACGCTACATCAACCATCCGTTGAAAGTTCCGCTTGTTGTGACCTCTGAAGATGAGTTGACTGCCACTTCCATCCGCGAGCATGAATCCAGTCTGGATTTGTTGGAATATGCCAATAAATGCAACGTAGAGGAGGCCACTCTGGAAGCTAATGCCGAGGAGAACCTCGCTGATTATGCCGAGTTCTTAAACGTCTCCGAGGGAGGCCTGACTGTGGTAGCCGAGGATTATGAGAAGAAACGTTATAAGCGCTATCGACAATGGCTGAGGGGCAAGAGTCTGTTTAAACAGCGGGTTGACATGTAACTCCCTGCCATGAGTAGTTGTCGTTCATGATTATACAACGGATACAATTCAAATCAATTTCATGGTCAATTCAGGATCATCCATTTTGGCCTTTGGTCCACTCGAGCCCGCCTTACAGTCATGCTAGCAGTGCTAGGAGGGGTTTTTACCGTCTGAATGATTCATAGCAGAGACCTCTAGACAAAATTGTTTGCATCATTTATTTGTTTTAATCTTACTTCCTTACCTTGCTTTGATCGCAAATCGCATGCAGCGGCTCCGCCTCGCTGGGCTCTTTCATTGCTTTCAGTTCGTCTTATCAATACTTCATTTCGTTCGTTTCATCTGTAGCTTTCTTCTTGCTTCCAGTTATCACCTGATTATTCAGAAAATCCAGAATCGTCCAGTCTTGTGGACTTGGGACACCAAGCATCCCGTTTCTACAGATTATCCTCTTCATCCATGAATCAGCTTGACGAGAACACCTGGACCCATGCTCCTTATATAGCTAGCATGACAGAACCTCCATTCTCGACAAAGTATTTCGCATGGCCGTACCTGGCCGGTCGCCGAAGACGAGATGGCGGTAGATCGATCGATAGTAATAAGTACATCTACCGGATTATCTATTGCCCCGAACCGACCCCTCACGTGCGCCGGTCCTGGCTCGCTCCCACCCGCCAGCCCCTTTAAATCTATAGTCTATCTATCTATGTAGCCTTCGTTCCCGATAAGACACTATCTTCATCCCCCGGAAACGCGTGCCGGCACGTCTTAGTTTGGTTGTATACGAGGGGGGTTGCAGCCTCGATGCATCTTGGACCTGCGATATCTCGACAGCACACGGTCTAGCCTCTTCAATTGTCTGGTACCAGCCAACTTCTGTTTGGATCCATGTGTCATCGACCCTTCCGACTGTCCCGTGGCCCCTCCCGGTCGCTGCATCACGTGCTACTCCGATAGTGACGTCGTACTGCTTGATCATCGTGCTCTTTCAACAGTCGAGGATCTCGGGCTGCCCGTCTCTGCGCAGCACACCAGAACTTGGACTACAGGAGAGACTCTCCTCCGGTCGATGTCCGCGACTTGTGGCCACCTATGGATCACCGCGGTTCTTTCTTCTTCTTTCTGGTAGTTTTCTACCTGCTTCTGAGCTCGCAGTCGCATTCGCCTCTGATCTCCCAGGATGAAGAACACCAAAGGGAGCTGGTGAGGGAGCGGAATGCGCTTCACATGTTGAACCAGTCTCAGTATGGCGACTTCGATCCGATCACCGACAGATGGCTCCCGTTTTCCGGTGTCAGGAAGAATGATAGCTATGCTTGGGATCTTCTTCCAGATGTTCAGGATAGAGCTCGGTCTCAATTGCGGTCCACCATGGCAGAGGCGGGCTTGAGGCCTCCCAAGGCCCTTGCGGTGCCTGACGCTTTTTCCGGTCTTAACTTGACCCAATTACTCCTCCCAGTCTATCGTAATGCGACCGGTAAGCTGCGCGGGGAATGGGTACGCCACAGACAGAACAAAGAACATGCCCTGTTGAACACGACTGCAATTGCACTGGAGAACGAATACTTCACGCACGAGTTCAGTCACAATGTTACGGGGGATAGTGGCACATTTTACCTTGATCTCCGGGAGGGCGGTGGTGAGGAGGTTCAGTTGCCTGAAGGCCAGGTTCGGGAGATTCGAGCAACTTTGGCTGTAGAGAGTGGCGATTTCTGGGGTAATACCTGGTACCTATCGCTGTTCGGTGTTCATTTCCCGGAGACGGGTGCCATCATCTTGACTACAACCAGCGAGAAATTTGGTGGCGTATTCACATTACCGCATCTGATGCTCTCGCCTGACGCATACAATCTCACCCACCAGCTTCTCGTCAAGTCCCTCTCGGACACTATATCCGAGAAGCAGAATCGACCTCCTACCCTATTTCCTTGGTCCTCACTTGTCGGGACGGAGCAGGTGGAATACCCGGCTCCAAAATGTGAACATATCGTCTACCTCCAGCTGCACCCCGTCGCGATCCACGGCTACCTCACAGATAAAACGATCATCGAGCAGATAGAACAAGAGCTGAGATATCCAATGGGAGCCCCTATTCCGTCTCCACCACTGTTAGTCATGTCAGCTGTCGTCTTCTCGCCTGATTGTGGGTACATCCTGGAGACCAAGGGAGCTCCTGACTTCCCACCAACAGAAGCACTCTATTTATCAGGACCGAAGATGGAGGAATTCGGCAAATTCTCTGCTCGCATCATTTTTATGATCTCGGCCTTTTCTGTTGGCCAGATCGCATTACTCTTGCGCCAAATCAAAGAAGCATCCACGCCATCTACTAGAAGCCGGATCAGCTTCTACACGATCGCGCTCATGGCGTTCGGCGATTCTTTCGTACTTGTCTTCATGCTGCTGGAGCTTTATCCGGCCGTTTCATTCCTTGTTATGACAACAGCATCCTTCTTGACCTTCCTCTCGGTCAGTTATATCGGAATGAAATTTATGATGGAAATATGGGCAGTCCAGGCCCCGGAGCGAAGAGAACAAGAACGTCGACCGAATCCTACTACGCGGCCAGGGAATCTTCCCCTCCCTGCCACTACGACTCGAGTCACTGATACGGGCGCAACACCTATCATTTTGACCCCCGACCAGGACCCTCCATCAGAAGAAAACGAACCTCCCGCGAATCGGGGCGCCACGCCGAGTGCGCAGGACACGCGGGGTGATATCGGTGCCATGTACGCTCGGTTCTACTTTATATTGTTTGTCCTCCTCATAATATCCGTCTGGTCCTTCCTTTGGCCGAACCGTATGGGAGCAATATATGCTCGGACCCTCGGATTTATTTATCTGTCCTTCTGGGTACCCCAGATATATCGTAATGTCATGCGCAATTGCCGCAAAGCACTGCGCTGGGAGTTTGTGGTTGGTCAAAGTTTCCTTCGACTTTTTCCATTTATCTACTTTTTGACTGCACGCGGGAATGTGCTTTTCATTCGACCCGACTCGACCACAGCCCTGGCACTGGCTGGCTGGGTGTGGGTTCAGGTCTGGGTGTTGGCTAGCCAGGACATTCTGGGACCCCGTTTCTTTGTTCCTAGTGGGTGGGCGCCACCCGCCTATGACTATCATCCCGTGCTACGCGACAGTTCAGGATCAGGTGACGATCTTGAGTCTGGCGGAGTCCTTCCAATCGGGGCCTTGAGGGCTGACGAGCGGGAATACTCCATGGAAGCCAGGGATGAAGATAAGCAACGGGCGAAAGATAAGAAGAAGGCAGTGTTTGACTGTGCCATTTGCATGCAAGAAATCGAGGTTCCTGTCCTTGCAGCTGCGGGTGGTGCAGGCAGTAGCAGCATGACGGACGGGGCCACCAGTCTCCTTAGCCGACGGACATACATGGTCACCCCATGTCGGCATATCTTCCATAGTACCTGTCTCGAGAGCTGGATGCGACTTCGATTGCAGTGTCCCATTTGCCGAGAGTCCATTCCACCAGTGTAGGCACATGGAAAGCACAAACTGTACTTCTTTACTCTACATGGGCAAATTATTCACAGCTCTCCGGGACCACTGGTAGCGGAGATACTCGTTAAGATCTCTCTTACATATACCCAGCGGTCTATACCGTACGTGACAGGTCAGCTAGCTAGCAGGTATATTGCGTGTATTTAAGCACCGATTCAATGTATGATTACAGTAGAATCTGAATCCTTGAAGATATGACCGCAAAGAAATCTTAGGGGATTGTAAAGGTTTGTCCAGACGGAGTACTCATGTCTTTCTACTTACCTACTACTAACAGAAATATGATGGATCAACAGCCCGAGTGCGGAAGTAGTAGTATCTCACTTCAAGGTCAAGTTCGCACAGGACCCCGCGATAGCAGCCAAGCGACATGGAAGCAGCATCCAAGCTCAAGTTGCTTATTTGGATGCGGGTATCATTAAAGAAGCTTTTGAATCTAATACCTGATTCCCGTTATGATACATTATGTTAACCCCACTGGGGGTAAGTGTAGAGCCGGTGAGTGGGTTGGTGATACGCAGGCTTACATGATATCACCTTCGAATTCAACCCATTATGACTAGAACTAACGTCATCATGTACCCTATACTACTATGTCCCAGCACGAAGGCAAGAATAAATCACGATGATTTTGCATGCTGGGTAGTGAGGGCCAACACTCAGATATTTCGCTGGTACCCTTCATCGCGTAGTCGCCGTTTTCTATCGACCGGTTTGGACCTACCCGCGTTCCCATCGCTTCGAATCTGCTGTGATTGCTTTGCGCCATGATATGATTGACATACTCATGTTATTCTAAGATCTGTGATAGCGGGGTACCCATCGAATGCAGCGGGATAGAAGATTCCGTTTCATGGTGCATCAATCAGTAGACGGACCGTCACATCCCGTCCGTCGGCCGGGATGACAGGAAACGGCAGACAACTCGGGATGTCCCACCCCGCATACCCTTGCCGATATACGGAGTATTTGCATCCGAACCAGTCTATATCCGACACATAAAGAGGTCATCGGAGTACAAATTGACCAAATGCTTCAGAAGCGAATACTATTGTTACATGTTTTCCTCAATTTTACGATTCTCTTTCCCCAAGTCTGTCAGTAACTATAACCGAAAGAGGATGAGTGATACGAGCAACTTTCTGAACCGCCTCGCGGCCCTCGACACCAATACAGTATCCGATGCATTAGATGTCCTTAACCTTCGTGGGGCCACATATGGCCTCCGGCCTCTCTGGAACTGCCCGAAAATCGTCGGCCGCGCTAGCACAGTGGAAGTAGGCCCGAGGATCGGGACAGCTCCAACGCCTCATCCTTTTGCTCCTACCATTGACGCAGTCAGCAGTGACGACCGGATCCTCGTCATTGCCGGCGGCCTGGAAGGTGTCTCCTGCTGGGGCGATATTATTGCAAACGCCGCCAAGGCCAAGGGAATCCGCGGAACCGTAATCGATGGAGTATGCCGGGATATCGACGGTAGCGTCGAGGTCCAGTATCCGCTCTACGGACGTGCTGTGACGATGATCAGTGGTCGGAGTCGCATAGTCTCTGTCAGCGCTGGCAAACCCGTGCGTGTCTGTGGGGGTGTGACAGTCGAGCAGGATGACTATGTTATCGCGGATGCGTGCGGTACTGTCTTCGTCCCTGCTGCACATATCGCGATCGTCCTCACCCTGGCAGAGCAGATCCACCACCGCGAAGGCCAGATGGTAGAGGCGGTGCGCTCTGGGCAGACGGTGTCAGCAGTAATGCGCGACTCACGCTTCGAGCAACTCCGACAAGAGACCGTGTCAGCTGCCGCCGCTGCCAGCCCCTTATCGCAAGAGAACCCGCGGAAGGCGAGCGCGGGGGATCAGGAACTAGTTGGACTTTTGAGAGGATTGGACTCGCCAGCTGTCTCGGATGCCTTGGATTCCCTGGGGATCGCGGGACAGGCCTGGGGAATCCAGCCATTGTCTTCTTCGGGGTCGAGTAATCGGCGCGTTACTGTTGGACCGGCATTTACTGTTCGTTATGTCCCCGCGAGCGACCCGCCTGGCAGTGTGGGGGATTTCCTGGATGATGTGGCGGTTGGGGATGTAGTTGTTATCGATAACAGTAGCCGCACAGACTGTACCGTCTGGGGTGATATCATGACTCACTATGCCGCGCTGCGGGGGGTTGCGGGCACGGTGATCGATGGAGTGTGTCGCGACGTGGATCTGGCCCTAGAGGAGGGATACCCACTATACACCGCAGGACGATGGATGCGTACCGGGAAAGATCGGGTCCAGGTTGGCGAGGTCAACGGGCCTGTTGGTATCGGGAAGGTCCGGGTCGAGTCCCGGGACATCGTTGTCGCTGATTCCAATGGCGTCGTGATCATACCTCGAAGTCGCGTGCGCGAAGTAGCGGAGCTCGCCCGCACGATCTCCGAGAGTGAAGCGCAGATCCGCGAGTTGTTGACGAAGAGGGGGGCCACGCTTGCGGAGACACGCCGACAGCTTGGCTATCACACACTGCAGCGGAGAAGGGGATAGACAGGTTCTCCCCAGTGCAGCTGGAATAAAGTTTATAAGTCCCTTAGAATAGATGACTTGAATCAGTTGCTGCCTTTTTCCTCAACGCGAACGACAGACAGACCGTACTGTGGATTGCAAACCTGCGTAGAATTTTATAGATCTGAGAGCTAATTAATTCCATAGACGACTGGAATCGATACAACAGAACACCAGCAGAACAATGATGTGCAATTGATTATTGTGCCTCTGCTTTCAAATATTTCCTTCCAATAGTACCGACGAATCAGACTCTTTCCATGTTGTCCCCCATCATGACATATGATAGTAAGAGTAAGTAGTAAGTAGGCAGCAGAGGTGGGTGCCTGCAGTGGTTGCTGCCTATTTGGTGCTAGTGCTCCAGCCGCCCCACAATCTGGCCGGCCATAGCTCAATCACGTGCCAGTCCACCGACGTGTGTTCTCCACATCTGGTCCTTATCGTCTCCATACTTCAACAACCCAGCCAGCCTGTTCATGGTTCCCTAAAATACTTCACTTACTATCCCCTTTCATCTCACAAACGCCCCTGCACAGAGCACATTGATGAGCCATGGATGAGGAAGAGGCCAGCAATTATGAAATGTCCCACTCCCGCAGTCAACCCTCACAACAAGAGTCAAATCTGGATGAGAAATACCCAAACCGTCCTCATAATCACTCCCAGACATTGCCCTTTCACGAGCTCTTTGAGACCCTCTTCAATCCGTTGAGTGAGCTCTCCAAGAAGCCCGCAGGCACCGCCGCTCCTCGGCGAAAAGTCGGGCCTCATGGCCAGTCGGCAGCGAACCTTACCCCACACGAAAAGCGACGGGATGTCATTGAGCGGTTCATCTCACGATGGCGGAAAGAGGTGGGCGATGATATCTACCCTGCGTTTCGGCTGATTCTTCCGGACAAAGATCGCGACCGGGCCATGTACGGTATCAAAGAAAAGGCCATCGGAAAATTACTCGTCAAGATTATGAAGATCGACAAGAATTCGGATGACGGCTTCAATCTTTTGAACTGGAAGCTGCCAGGCCAGTTGGCTACCTCGCGCTTTATGGCGGGGGATTTTGCGAGACGCTGCTACGATGTTATCTCAAAACGGCCAATGAGGACAGAGGTGGGCAATATGTCCATTGAGGAGGTGAATGACAGGCTCGACCAGCTTTCAAATGCCTCGAAGGAGGAGCAGCAGCTACCCATCTTGTCGGAGTTTTACCGAAAAATGAACCCCGAGGAGATGCTGTGGCTGATCCGCATTATCCTTCGACAGATGAAAGTCGGGGCTACAGAGCGAACCTTATTCAATGTATGGCACCCAGATGCTGCAAACCTCTATAGCATATCCAGTAGCCTTCAACGTGTTTGTTGGGAGCTGCATGATCCGAACATTCGGCTTGGGGCTGGAAACAGCGGCATTTCTCTGATGCAATGCTTCCAGCCCCAGCTAGCTCAGTTTCAGATGCAGTCCCTTGATCGAATGATTGCCCGAATGCGGGGTACCGAAGAAGACCCGGTATTCTGGATCGAGGAGAAGCTCGACGGGGAACGTATGCAGCTTCATATGGAGACTGACAGCTCGGTGCCGGGAGGAAGGAAGTTTCGCTTCTGGTCGAGGAAAGCGAAGGATTACACCTATCTCTATGGAAAGAGCCTTGAGGACCCCAATGGTGCCTTGGCCCGACATCTCAAAGACGCCTTTGCAGATGGGGTCAACAGTTTGATCCTGGATGGGGAAATGATTGCTTGGAATCCCGAGCAGGGCGCCCCCGAACCATTTGGCACCTTAAAAACTGCCGCATTAGCTGAACAGAGAAATCCGTTCTCAAATGGATCGCGGCCGCTTTTTCGTGTGTTTGATCTACTCTTGCTGAATGGGCACGATTTGACCAGGTACACTCTTCGCGATCGTCGAAATGCCCTGCAGAAGAGTGTAAAGTCAGTTCACCGTCGGTTCGAAATCCATCCTTACGAGGAGGCTACAGACAAGGCCCAGATCGAAGCAGCGCTTCGAAAAGTTGTTGCGGAGGCTTCTGAGGGACTAGTAGTCAAAAATCCAAGGTCACCATATCGCCTCAATGAACGACATGACGACTGGATGAAAGTGAAGCCTGAGTACATGACAGAGTTTGGGGAGTCCCTGGATCTGATTGTCATAGGCGGCTATTACGGCAGTGGTCATCGAGGAGGGGGTCTTTCAAGCTTCCTATGTGGATTAAGGGCCGATAATGCCAGCTCTTCGCAAGGGACAGGGGCAACCAAATGCTATTCTTTCTGCAAGGTCGGAGGAGGCTTTACAGCAGCAGACTATGCGAATATCCGTCATCATACTGATGGGAAATGGGTGGACTGGAACCCGAGGAAACCACCAACGGCATACATTGAGCTGGCAGGTGGCAGTGCCCAGCACGAGCGTCCAGATCAGTGGATCAAGCCAGAGGACTCGGTGGTACTCTGTGTTAAAGCAGCATCGGTATCAGTCAGTGATCAATTTCGTGTCGGTTTAACATTGCGCTTCCCGCGGTTCAAGAGGTTACGCATGGATAAAGACTGGAAGAGTGCGCTTTCCATGCAAGAATTCCTGGATCTGAAGTCGAACGTGGAGAAAGAGCAAAAGGAGAAGGAATTCAATGTAGAGAATTTCCGCAAGAAACGAGTGAAGCGACCAAAGAAGGCCTTGACAGTTGCAGGATACAGCCCGAATGCAGAGGTGAAGTATGAAGGTCCATCAGGGCATATTTTCGACGGGCTCAACTTCTTTATTTTGACCGACTCGGTAGCCCCGAATAAGAAAACAAAGGCGGAGTTGGAACAACTTGTCAAATTGAATGGAGGCAAGATATATCAGACGAATAAGGCCGCTCCCAACACCGTATGTATCGCGGATCGAAGAACTGTGAAAGCCGCCTCCTTGCAAAAGAGTGGCGATGTGAGCCTAATCCGACCATCTTGGATCCTAGACTGTGTGAGGCAGAACGAGATTGATGCGGGACTGCCAGACCTGCTTCTTCCCCTGGAACCTAGGCACATGTTCTTCACAACGCCTAGCAAGGAGGAGGAGGTATTGACGAGTGTTGACCGGTTCAATGATAGCTACGCTCGGGATGTCACCAAGGAAGAGCTGGTCAGCTTACTCGAAAAGATGAGCGCGGACAATGGTAGTTCCGACGTGCCCCCGAGAGGCGAAGCCACCAAGAAGCTTAGGGAAGCTATTCAAGAAAAAGTGGACTCAGGATGGGATCTCCCATGCGGGTGGCTTTTTCAGAACTTGACGTTCTTCTTTCCCGACCGGACAACGCAGGATCCAGATCCCGGAGAGCCGGAATATGCCGGCTGCGGCTATCGACTTTCTTTGGCTCGCAATACGGCCAAATTTGCAGGTGCTACTGTTGTCAATACTTATGAGGACCCTTCCATCACCCATGTGGTTGTAGATCCGGATACACCATCTTCGGAGATCGCCACGCTAAGGAAAACCTTGTCTCTCCGAGTGGACCAGAAACTTCCTCACATAGTTACCACTGAATGGATTGAGGAGAGCTGGGAGCATCAATCACTTCTTGATGAAGATAGATATCATCCAAGGCCAGCTTGATCCTGATTCAGCCTTACGTTAATGTTGACTACGATGAAGAAGTTCGGTGATGACCTTCTTGCATCAACCACTGGAACTGCCCATCTCAGCGAGTCAAGGGAAGAGATCGGACGACGACTTTCGCCCATTGAATTGGACCGCACGGAGCCGGACTGCAATGGGATTTGAGATACGATACTAGCCGATTGGCAGACGCTTCGGAGACAAGCTGACAGGACTACAAGGAGTGGCGGACAACAATATAACGATCTAGACATATGTTAGTCAATCAATATATAGTATAATGGTATATGGAGGAATGACCGTTGACGCGGTTGAACTCATAGGCGGCCATGTGGCCATCGCTTGAGGACCTCCGGCGTGGCCCACAATAATGTGCGAAAACGCAGTTAAAGGTGGAATGGAAAAGGTTGGAACAAACAAACACCCGACGTGTGATTGATTCGCCCTCAGGCCCCGAGCACTTGCAGATTGAAAGGTGCGAAAATGAGCCCAGAGTGGACGCCAACACCACCGGCGAGCAAGCTCCATAATCATCAGCGTCAGACTGGGGTTTCTCCTACTAGGCCCCACCACCATCGCCGCCCAGGAGTCGGACGGCGCGACGCCCGACAGAGCCACAAGCGATCGCGGAAAGATGGCCTAAGACGAAGGTGAACTGATCGAACCAAAGAAAGGAAGAGCATCAGGCGCGCGTGTTCAATCTGGACCTTTGGGGGAACAGGCGACCACTGCGTGAAGCTAGACAACCAAGCATGGAGTTATCAAGCTCGATGGCCCTCTTCTCAGACTCACTTGTTCGGCTGTTCAATTCGCTGCTGCACATTATGGACTAGCAGCGGGGTAGTCCTGGAGTGAATGCCTAACGGGGCTAAACACACAAAGCACCTAGTCTTAAGTCAATATATTTCAATATAAACACCTGCCGGGCTCTTCGAGCCTAGCTACTATAGACACTTTTAAGACCATCCTCTGTGTGTACTAGGCGGTGGAGTCTCGAAGTGTTCACCACTCCCAAGGATATAACAATACCCGCTATAACCCGGGCATCGGTTTCACTCCACTCCGCTTGCCAAGACTGGGTGCATATACAGCAGGATTCCAGGCAGGATGAATTGCGTCTGACAGGCCGGAATTGGCCGGGGGATGTATCATCGAGGGAAACTACTTGTTGGATCGGAAGTTGGAGCATACTACCCATCAGCTCCGATGCCCTATTGTGAGATGCAGCTGCGCTAGCGTGAATGAAAAATAAGAAATTCCCTGGCTTCCGCGAAGTTATCGAAGGTATTGACACCCTTTTTTGTTGCCTTCCTGTTCCCTGTAGACTCAATTTTGCTATACATGTCTTACCAATTTCAGCCTACTCGGCGTTAGGACGACCGGAGGCCTGCAAAGAAAGCACTAGTCTAGCATTGGCCTTGGAGACCAAGCTGCCATGGTGGATCCGCTGAAGGGAGAGATACAGACTGAGGGCAGGAGCAGGGAAGGTGAGGGGACGTATTTCCCCGGCTAGAGCACTAGACTCGGAGTAATAGGTCAGAAAGAACCAATTAACTAGCAGGGTTCCTGCAGCGACATGATCAGAGCTGGGATTCAGATACGTACCATGACGCGGCCCAGGCAAGACGCGGAGGGTCATGGGTGGAATTTGCTCAATCCTTTGAGACAAAAGTTTTGTTCCCCGCATGATCATCACCGCTAGTCCGATGCCCACAATAAGAGGAAGGGAAAGAATAAAAGACGGGAGAAGGAGGTTGGGAGACAAAAGACGAGAAGCAGAGGAAGGACAGTGGCAGCAGAGCCGGATGACTTGACTAGCATCATTATCTCCGCGTTACGGAGAGCGGCTCCACCTCACGGGGTCTGTGCAAACCAAATTGATCATGTTTATCTCGTAGTTACTCCGGATATAATCTCATCAACTCGGCATTTACTACTCTTCATGAACTGAACCCTTTTCCCCGGCCGTCTCCAACTTTCAGCCATCCAATCCAGACCCCGACAGAAATATTGCGATGGACACTGCCATCCATTTGTTTGGCTGCTCTCTGGGCCGGTCAGTTCGGAGCGGGTCAGCAGGACCCATCGCCGAAAAGCCCTCCTCGGGCGGAGTAGCTGTAATGGGCTTAGCCAGCGCTCCTACGGCATATTTTAGCCAAATGAACAAGATTTTATTCACGGGGCTCCGGGGGGTCTGCTGCATCGTCCAGTCGCAGGCATGCAATCTCTAAAGCGGTGGGTACAGGTTCACAAGTGCTGGTGCTGCAGGACGAGGCCCTCTATGCTTGGGGCTATCCCTGCGGGGACAGTACCAACAATGTCCTCACCGATGGTACGTACTCCTCCACTGATAGCCCGCGCGGTATCTCAGGATTGACTGCTCATGGACAGGAAAATGTTCAATTCTCGGATAGGCCCCATGCTTTCTGGGAGCATATAAAGCCGGTACACGACCCAAGTTGAATCTCCTCGTTCAACCCCAGAAAGTCACAGCATACTTTCCCTTCTAAGCTCTTTATTCTCTCGCGGGAATACACAAACCTTTCGTGCTTTGGGTTAATACAGACTCTTGCAATCAAAAATTATAATGTGGTCTCTTTCTTCGCGGGCCCTCATGGCCACCGCAGCCCTCCTGGGCTCACTGCCTTCAACCCTCGCGACTTCGGCAGCCTGCAACGCCAGCGCTCTCAACACCACTGTGGGATTGTATCCCATTACCGTGGAGAATACCACAGTCTTTGATGTTGCCAAGGCCACTAACCGAGGTGTCTGCGACATCGGCCGTCAAAACCTTATGGCCGATGTGACGATCATCCCCAACGTCGGCCAGACTTTGATCATCCCGGCTGAGGTCTGTGAGCCCGATAATGAGACCTGCCTCCTACCCAATATCACCCGCACCCGCACTTGCATTGACGGCGGTCCGCGTCTATACTATACCGTCAACGGGGATACGCTCGACATTGTCGCGAAACGACTGAACATCACAACGGAATCGCTCATGAGTGACGATACCAGTTTCACGGCTGATGAGGTTCTTGCCCCGGGTCAGTACCTCAAAGTGCCATTGTGTTCTCCAAGTGAGTGCGTGATCAGGCCATTCACGTTGGAGTATGGGGTGTACAAGGACTATGCAGACAAGTACAACACCACCGTGGGCCAGATTATGATGCTCAGCCCGACCTACAACTATAGCACGTCGCCCCTGACTGGTGCTGGGCGTCCGTCGTTGGATCTTCCGTACAAATGTACTACTCTGTCAAGCAACATCACAGTGCTGTCATAAGTTCTGTTGTGGCTATTGATTATAATTACTGGCCATTATGTGTCTGTTGATGTATTTGAGTTTTTGTCATACAGTACAGTTATCGCCCGTCGGGCGCCTATGGGAGAGTAAATGACTGTGAAGCTATCCAAAATATGTACTTGAGCGCTTTTGCGAAACTTTTTTTCTTCTCATATTTCAGTGTCTGTGAGTACTGTGGAAGCCTCTCTGGCGGATGATTCGCTAGAGCATCATCGCATGCGACTAACAACTTAATGTACGCAACCGCATACTTAGAAAGCTGTAAGCAGCCAGTGGTGTTCTATCTGCACACCAGTATTACCGTCATATATGCAAATAATTCAAATTGCATCAAGTTTGTTACGAACTAACTACGGAGTATAATCGGCAGGGATGTAATGCATGACATAAGCCGTCCCGGTCTAACCCAAACAGGCATATCAATCAGATCTGATCTCCGCATCCTGAGCCTCTTCATCACTTCCCGTTGATTTCCGCTTCGTCTGCCACCATCTCCTCCATCTCCATTGGCCCTTATTCTTCATCTGAATATCATCATCAAAATGACCGACCCTCCTCCTCAGACTATCCCTCTTCACCACCTTCCCTCATCCATCTCCTACAATGCCGCCACCACCACAGCCCTGGAATCTCACCTCAGCACATCTGACGAGGAGTCTAGCCCACCTCCGCGTTACACCCGCGAGAATGACCCCTTCCAACTAGCCTCGAAGCTGAAAAGTCCCGAAGAAATCGCCCAGATGCAACCCCAAGCCAACATCTCCCGCAAACGTCACACTTCCGGCTGCCTCCCGCACAACGCCAACCCCCGCAATGCGCTCGCTTCCTCCCTAGCCTCCAAACAACTTCAAACGTTCTACGAATCCCAGAATGAGAACATCCAACGCATGCTCAAGCCCGTCGAAGAACACGTCCGCGATGCCCGTGAGACAAATAGCAGCAACCAACTCAAGTACAAAATTGCCGTCTGGGGCTCCTTCGCTGCCAATGTCATTCTCTGCGTTCTCCAACTCTACGGAGCTATTTCCTCCAGCTCACTGTCCTTGTACACAACCATGGCCGACGCCGTCTTTGATCCTCTCTCCAATATCACTCTCCTCGTCTCCAACAAGGCCGTCAATCGCGTCGACCCTCGTAAATTCCCCGCTGGAAAAGCTCGTATCGAAACAGCCGGCAACATCTGCTTCTGTTTTCTCATGACGGCTGTCTCTTTCATCCTCATTGCTTTCTCTGTCCGCGAACTCGCCGAGGGATCCAACTCCGAGACGGGATCTTTCCACCTCCCCTCCGTTGTCGCCGTCATCGTCGCCTTTTGTACTAAATTCGTGCTTTTCCTGTACTGCTTCGCGCTGAAGGATCAGTATTCCCAGGTCATGATCCTTTGGGAAGACCACCGCAATGACCTCCTTATCAACGGATTCGGTATCCTTACCAGCGTAGGTGGGGGTAAATTGCGCTGGTGGATTGACCCCGCGGGAGCTATCGTCCTCTCCGTGCTTGTCAGTTGTTTGTGGCTGTTCAGCGCGTATCGCGAGTTCCAGTTGCTTATCGGTGTTACGGCCGATACGAAGATGCAACAGTTGATTACATATATCTGTGAGCTTATCCCCCTCTCTTATCTCCTTTCCACTCCCGCCTATAGATGAAAGATAAAAGCTAATAACGTGTTAATCGTAAAGCAATGACCCACTCCCCCCTCATCACCGCCATCGATACCGTCCGTGCATACACCTCCGGTCCTCGATTGCTTGTGGAAGTGGACATCGTCATGGACCCGAACGATTCGCTGCGGGCTACGCATGATGTCGCGGAGGAACTGCAGATGAAGTTAGAGTCTTTGCCAGATGTGGAGCGTGCGTATGTGCACGTGGATTATGAGACCACACATAAGCCAGAGCACTTCTTGAAGAAGGAGTTGTAGGTTTATGTGTTGGTTGGTATGTTTATTCGTTCGGGTTGGGTGGGATATGGTATATATCAATATGATTGGGATGGGATATGGATATGGATCGAACTCGGTACATAATCAACTATAGAGATTAGAATAGTTTTAGGCCTCGAATCCAGGAATAGAATATACACTTCAAATAATAACAATAGTAGAAGTAGTAGTCGTTACTGCTATTAAACAATTCCAAAAGTTACTACTAACTTAATGATAAGATATTAGAGTTGTCAAAGCTACGAGACACGGTCCCAAATGCCCCGAAGCTTGACACTACCTCAGTAAATAGTCCGAGCAGGTAACACCCTATGTTCTCCGTGTCACTACAATAAATCCACTGAATGTAATGTTTCATTCGCATACATAACTGGCTGAACTCTTCTTCAGTAACGTCTCAAGTGTGAATGGCGACGGTCACATAACCCGGGGCCACCTCTCCATCTTGCCGTAGGCTTCATGATCCTACCCTGTGTCGCGTATCGTGAGCTATCAGAGAGCCATCATAGCTGTTAAGCTATGAGCCCGGCTAGTTTAGAAGATGTCAAGACGAAGGGTCAAGGATATATGGATTTGACCTATCTAGATCTCAAGAAGATGGTTGGTGGTTGGAAGAGGTGGTCGGAGACCACGCAGGAAGAAAAGGCAAAGGATCAGCTGACAGCTGCCTGGCTGCAGTGAATGTCTCAACAGAAGACAGTAAAAGACGTCAGTTTCGTCGAATTCCATCTCGAAGGCCCCCTGCAGCTGACCGACCGAGACACTACAGGCCCTCCTGAGCCACAACAACAGCAAACGCGAAATGAACCGAAACCCCCATACTAGTAACGGAGAAACACCTTGATAGCGACATGCTATCTATTGGACGAGGACAAACAGCACTACTTAGTCGTGGACCAGATGCATCAGAATGGGCAAAATTTGAATGGGAGCCCACCTGCCATGATTACGGGCCTCCGCGACAAGTTAACTGGCATCGAGTATCATGATACTTGGCAGGTTCAGGTGGTCAATATGAGCCCTTCGATTGAAATACTGATGGTTTTCTTCTTTCATTCAAGTGAGCACGGTTACTCGAGTTCTTTGTCATAGAAGACATAGGTGATAATTGAGGAAAGGTCGATAGTCTAATGGCAAAGTCGAATATCCTGAAAAGTCGGGCCGAATAGAATTACTCGGTAGTGTGACCTCGCAATGTTTAGCTTGCAGTCCTTCTTATTTGTTTTCCTGGCTCATACAGCACCCGTATAAGATTATAATATTGAGTAATTACAGCAGTGCGTGATAGGATTCAAACATTCCCCGGAAACATATATTGCGTATTCGGTTGTCTGCATGCTTCTGGCTCGTGGGTGACACCCTATGGTTTCTCAAGATACAGTAAATCTGGGAGCGGGTTAGCTGTGTATGCAGAGAAAGCAACCCCATGCCCGATGTAAATTTGAAAGAAGGAACTAAGAGCGATAAGGGGCTATAGATAAACTTACTGTATTGGTTCTTGGATGCCCATGCATCGCTAACGGCCAAGTCTGCTCTTCGGCACAACGCATCCCTGTCGTCAGCATCGTACTTGTGGCTTTTGATTGCCAAGATGCTCCGGCCCGCTGGAATGGTCTCTCCCGTTAGAGACACCTCATCTGAGGGGACATAGTACTGGTTATGGCTTCCCTGCGCTGCATCCCAGCGGCCAATAACATCCCATTTGTCGAGATCGAAGGTATCCGGCCCTAGGATCTCGTTCGCGCGTTCAAGGCCGTGCTTGATGAACCGTCGATTGAACCCCTCGGAATCGTTATAGGCGGCCAGCACCCGATCGGCATCTTTGCATCCATCCAAGCCGATGAGCAGCGACGAATTGTTTTCGGGGGTGACGAAACTAGCCAAGAAGTCGGCGGCTTCCGGCCGCTGGAAACTACCCAATGTTGATCCCAGGGAGAGAATGGTCTTGGATCGCGAACGAATTTCGGGCAATTGCATCCAGTTGTGACCGTCATCGTAGGTTCCCAGTAACCCAAAGCAGCGTACGTGGCGAAACGTTCCTGGAGGCACGGTGCTAAGAGTTCGGTGGAGCTCCTGATACGAAACGTCCAACGCGAAGTAGTCCACTTCCCGACCCAACTCATCTAGAGCGTCTAGAAGAATCTTGATCTTGCGGAGATTTCTAATTGTTCGATCAGTACGGCTGCCACTGGAGCTGAAAGGTTGGAACGCTTACCCGCTGCCTAGCTCAACCAGCATACTACCGGACGGAATGTGTTGTGCGATCTGGTATTTGTGCTTTTCGAGCAGGCCGATTTCTTCATTGGTCAGGTAGTATGACGGAGCGTACGTCACGTCTTCAAAGTAGCGGAGTCCCTGTTCATCCCAAAGGAGAAGCTCTGGCATGGCAGCATCACCATGACAAGCCGCGTGGATGGAAGCCTCTAGCGATTGGCGCAGTTGAGTCTCTGCTTTATCACTGCGGATATCGATGATATTGGTCGCAGCGACCGGTCCTGGGGCCGGTTGAACCCGAGGTACCCGACCACGGACCTGCGATGGTGACACGACACTTTCGAACATTTTGCACAGCAAAACGAACAGCAAAGTCTATGAGACAGTCTAAATGTAGAGGATCTAAGCAGGATGTATTTAGTGTTGATCTGCACACCGGTTGGCTGTTTAAGTACTGTGAACAGCCAAGTAGTGAGATCTTGATTGACGAACACATCTGAGACTCCGTGATGCAATATTTTGCGATGATTGCTCGATCGAGATGAAGATATCATTGCTTCATGATTGGCTTGATACGCTGAGGTCATTGATCCGAACCATGGACCCTGACATTCTAGCCGCGTCCAGCCACATCTGACTGCCAAAGTCGATGACCTTCGATACTTCTGCAACTGTGGGGCCTGCCGTCATCCCACAGTAGGAACGAGCCTGCAAGGTAGCCCAGTCAGTAACCATGAGCTTCGCAGGTTGCTACGTGCCGGGGCAGCGATGATCTACGGTTTGTTCAACCCGTGGCGTCTACGGGAATGCCAAGAAAATCCCGGAATTCCCAGTCATCTCTACATGAGAAGTGGAGAGTGAATATTCGATCCCAGCCTTGTCTATTTACTCTTGTTTTCGTATATTGTGCCCATCCAGGAACACAGTGACGCAGGTGGCATTGTCACTGCCGGGTGCTCCTGAAGCCTTCTCGGTGATCTTAGCGGCCACCTTGTCTGCATCCATTCCATCTTGCTTGCTCCGCGCGATCTGATGCATGATGGTTTCGTCATCCATTGTATTGGTTACCCCGTCTGTGATCAGCGCCAAGAAGTACCGACGATCCGACTGCAGCGGATATCGTTTCAAAGAAGGGTAACTGGAGACCAAATCCCCCTTCTTTGTTGGTTCGATGCCTGCCTTCTCCTGACCGCTGGATAGGGACTGCTCCCCGATATCCTTTAGCGGCGACTTATACTGCAAATCGCCCAGCGCCCGCGACATATTCAACCCCCCTGCAGAGGTTAGGTTCGTAACCACGTGCGAGATGGGACGAGGATAAACTAACCAACTCGTGGCACACCGCCATCGGTGTTGAGGGTTCCCCCGGCGGACTCAATGCGATGCCTCTCCCCAGCATGTTCCGGCTTGTGGGATGTGGTTATTCGCTCCTTCATAACAGTTAGAGGGCGCTGGTGTGATGAAATCAGGCCTGCGACTTCTACATACGACTTTCAGGGAGGTGTGATCTGCCCCGTCGGCCTCTCCCAGCAAAACGTGCGAATCTCCCAGATTGGCGACCACCAAGATCCCCCTGGTTAGGTTCACCACGACGAGGGCGGCAGTCGATCCGGCGACGGCGAACAATTCCTCGCCAGCCCAAAACCCTTGCAGAAGCTCCTCCTCCTCGGCTTGGATTGCTTGTTCGATGGCCGATTCATAGTTTCCCTGTCTCAACTCGCCACTGCTAATCAGAAGCCGCCGGATATTCTTGCTTGCATGTTCTGCAACCTTATCTGAGGCACTTTTTCCATAGTTAGTCGCGACTACCTTGCCAGAGGTGTGATGTGATTCCCGTACTGTCCGTCGTAGATGGCAAAGAAGGCTAGGCTGTCCGTGTGCCCCGAGAGCTCATCAGGTAGAAGTATAGTGTACCTGTCTTCTTGGGCTGGCATGGATCCAGGGACCTAGAGTTAGTAAATGCGGTATTAGCTCGGAGTTCCCGCATCTCTAGCGGGGATCGTGATCGTACACTACTGGCCCCGACCCCTTGAAGGGTAAAGGTGTTTGAAGTGTCTGAAGTCTCTGAAGCATCTGCCATGATGTGCTGGTACCATTTCGATAGAGAAATTTGAAGATCAAGAGGCCCTGATCACTTTGGACGAGGGCAGACCACCCTCCCTGCCTGGTAGAGGACATGCATCGCGGATAGCTTCCGATTAAGGTTCCGGGGGGGAGGGCCAGTGCATCGTGCCGTCATCGCCCCGTCAGGGTTCCACTGTCGGGTTCCATCAAATGTGGAACGTAATTCTGAAGTAAGATCAGTTGCGTGAATCGGATCACGAAGCTAGATAGGAGTTGGGAGCATTTCCGGGATCAATCACCACAGTAATTACAAAGTACTAGTTGCAGTTCTTATATTCAGTTACTTACAAACCATCGTGATCGTAAGGCTGACTAAACAATTACCAAGCAAACATTGTCTAGTTACATCACATGTTCAATTCCCAAACAGCCCCGCGACCAACGCCTGCAGCCTGGAGAGTGCCAGCAGTTGGTCGCACAACATGTTTGTGCTCCATCCGTTACCATGGAATCCTTGCCATGCTGATCCCACCTATCTATAGGTCTTCCCGACGACGCAATGGGAAACTCGCATCCTGTGAGCCTTGTCGCAAAGACAAGGTTCGTTGTGACCATGCGCAGCCTACGTGCTCACGCTGTCGAAAGCGTGGCTGCGCACATCGATGCCTCTATCATCCAGCGCCGTTAACACGCGCAATTGTAAGAGCATCGTATGCCTCACTAATCTGACTCTCTAGTGCTTGCTTGGATTCATTATCAGGTCGCAACAGCATGCTGGTACTGGGCCTTCCTCGGAGAGCCGAATCACAAGCCGCAGGCTTGGTTCCCGCATAAGTGTTCTTTTACATGCCGGATATTTGGGGCCCATAAATTCCATAATCGACGATGGCGATGGAATCAATTCGCATGGTCACTCAGATGGGTCTGAGGCTCAGTCTAGCAGTTTCAGCTGCTTTAACTCTTTCCAGGAAGTGGAGGAGCTTCTGGAGTGCCTGCGAGAATTCCCGTGCATAAAGGGTTACATGAATGGGTACTATACGCTAAGTCAGGTTGCCGTGGTTCCTGCTCCGTTCATACGCCGAGCACTTGCTGAGATAGAAGTCACATACGACGCCATTACGGTAAGAAGTCCGCCGCAACCATTGTCAGAATTGGCTACTACTATCGTCAAAAACACTCGACAACCATTTGATGTCGCTCAAGAATGTGATGGAGTTCGCTTTCATGAATCATTCACTGGCTCTTCCATCCGCCTAGAGGTCCTCGGGTTGATCTACGCACTGGCAGGTCGTGCGATTTCATTTGGGTTTCCCTATAATTTCAGCCATAGTCAAGATAGCGCATGCTCGCCTCTCCAGTTCTCTCGAATATGCTCGCTGCAAGCGATATTGCTAACCAACTCTGCTTTTTCCCGGTTCTAGTGTATTATAAATGCTCGATTTCCGTACTGTTCCATCCAATATGTGTGACAAGTGCCCACTGGGAACTAAGACTAAGGGAAGAGATTACTCGGGAAGGAGGGGTAGATATGGTCGCCCGGGAGACGTCTCAAATCCCTTTGCATGCTTAAGGTCATTTTCATGGATCATATGTTAAAGCCTATGCAGGTTCGTTTTCTCAATGATGCGGTGCCATAGAGTCATATATATCTATATTCCTCATTGAAACTGGGCTCTTCCACAGAGGCTATCTCACTTATCCTCCCGGCTTAAAATCCTCAGAATCCAATCCACCACGAGTTCCGGGGCACTTGCGACGGGGACATGGCCAGTGGCAATTCTCGTCACGTCTACTTCCTGCCCACCCTCACTTGCAACTGTATCAATCATCTTCTGCTGCACTTCTGCCGGAATGACCAAGTCTTCAGTGCACAGCAGATATGCGACGGGGACATCCTTGTATCCGGCATACGTCAATGGATTGGCCATACTGGCCGCTGAATGGTGTGTGAACTGCTGAGCCCAAGTCATGCCCTCGTCGGGGGGCACATCGGAGAAGGCTGCGGCTGCGACAGCCGCGGTATCAACGAGACTCATCCATCCTTTTTCGTCGACGGAAATATCCATACTCGGACCATTCGCCAATACGTCTATGGACGACTTGCCCTCGGGTGGCACCACAGCCGTCATATACGCCAGCTGTACCACCCCACCAGCGTGCTCGCTGCCCTCCCTCTTCACCAGACCCTGGATGCTCTGGCTGGCGGGCATCCCGCCGTACGAGTGCGCCAGCACAACAACCTCCTTTCCTTGCTCCACCAGTTGGTTAATCTCACGAGCAATTACCGCGGCATCGTCGTACATGGTGCCAGGCTCGGGAAGGGGACCATCGCTGGGGGCCACGCTGGATAGCCTGATGGTGTGGACTTCGTAGCCCAGACTTGCGAGTCTTGTAGTCACCCGAACATAGAGGCCAGGTAGGGCGTAGGCTCCTGGAACAACCACAATTGAAGGCTTGCATTGAGGCATGATGTTTGAATTGATAGATGATCTTGCTTGTAATTGCTACTCATCCTATTCCAATAACCATTGGGCTGTATACTTTATTTAACACAATCACTACACATTGATTGATTGCTAATAATGAACTAAGCATCAGAATAATGTTATTAATCAATATTAGACCGGGCGGTGTTAGTCTATCCTACTTGAAGCAAGCGAGTAAGCCACTACGGATCCAATTTCTCTATCTATTCCTTCCGACCCACCCGCGTCAGCACGCTTACACATGCCGTCACTTCCTCCCATGATGGAATTATCTGGTATTAATCAGCAAAAAATTTCTACCTGGAAAGGAAGGGGCCGCTATCAAAATGATGGCATAACGGGCTTGTCATTGGGAGAAAGGAAAGGTAGGTGAAAATCTCTTTGTAACCAAGACAGGGGCTGCCTGTGCGGATGTTAACTTTCAATTTTAGATGTGTGATATACTGCTTTATCAAACTCTCCTGTTCATTTCTTGTTTCCGCAATCTCAAGCGAGTTGTCAACAAGCGACTTGTTACCTTTGCGATTATGACTTTGCCAAAGTAAGCCATCATGCAGGTGATAGTCTGACCGAATATGTAGTATTATGATCCTGAGGATTGATCTTTAGTTGATAGCTGATTTGAATCATGACTTCATCGGTCTAGTCAGGCCTGTGAAGGGTTGCTGGGTCAGGACCCCGTACAACCTCTCGCTAGCAGTTATCATTACTTACCTCAGCCTTCGAGCATGGCAGTCCCATATTCATGAGTAAGATACGACTCTCCAGAACCGCTTCACCACATCTCCTGCCAATTCCGCTTCCCTTGTATCCGCCAAACGGAATGCTCCGGTGAATAAAGTTATACATATTCGCCCAAGGGGTACCTAAGCGTAGAGGCTCACCACCAAGACATTTTTGGGCCACTGCTGGTTATCTACCCGTATCAGTCTGGGCAGGAAGCTGTCAAGCTTGCGAGCGACACTTCTGTGGGAATGGTGGGCTACATCTTCACCGATTCCTTGCCGCGGGCTTGGAGGGTAGAGGAACTCCTAGAAGGTGAGTGGGCTATTTGTTACTAGACCACATGTGCTGTTAACAAGTCCTAAATGGCATGACTAGCCAGGTCAATTCGCTATAGTCAACTTTGGGGTTGGCTGCCATGCACAATGGGGGACCCGGGAGTCTATTGAACCAATAGGACAAATATATAGTTAAATGCGTTTGTTGCATGGCATAAAAGCCAATTTGGTTATATGACGAACTCGATAATCCCCAGGCATAGTCCTTTTACCAAAACCTCGGGTCTACTAGCCAGCTATATCCAATGATAATCAGTCGAGTAGATATATCAATACTTTCGTTTATTTATTTGTTTGAAATTGACTTTTCTTGTACATACCAAGGTGGTACATACATTCCATGCTAAACCATCCCAGAGTAACCACTCACTAGCCAGTGGCGACATCCAACTTCTGGTTTGGAAGGGAGCAGTAATACATCTCTAATATACTATTTCTACAGTGATAGCCTTGACTTGTAAATACAGTTAGCCGAAATTGCAAGCATGACTGCAACTAAATTCATTCGAAGCAGGTAGTGTTACCTCCCCGTCCAATTTTAACCCATTTCCTATGTGATGACTAGAGCTTACTGGTCCACAGTAGGTGTCCTCATCCAAATCTGGTGATAGATTTCTTATTTTCCAGGTTGCAAGATCTGACTGAAAGTGCAGCTAATCATGACTAAGCTCTCCTACAGGCGGCGTCAACTGTAAGGAGGTTCAAGGTTTCGCCTTCCAGCAGAACCCATGGTTACTGTTCTCACGTTTGCATGCTTGTCTCAGCCCCACCTCCTTTATTCACCCGGGAATGGGGAATGCCCCTTGCAGCTTCTAGGTCCGGCCAGGTGTGATATATCAGTCAGCTCCTTCGCGATTGACTATCTGGCCGATAACAATATGGAGAGGAACAACAGCCATATCTCGATGATAGCTCTCGGGGCTGCTCTTTGTTTCTTCTATGTGATAAAGATCCTGCGGCGCAAATGGATACAGTCCCAGATTATCAGAGACACCCACTGTGAACCGGCAGCGCTGGGCTCGAAGGATCGCCATTTTGGCATCGATGTACTTCTGCAAAACTTCCACGCAGCCAAAAACCACCGTCTCCTCGAACTCATTCAGCGCCGATTCCAACAATACGGAAATACATTTCGGGTAAAGCGGTTCGCAACCCCTTTTATTATCACCTGTGAACCGGCAAATTTAAAAGCTGTTTTATCCGTTAAATTCAAAGATTATGGTCTGGGAAGTCGTATCGAGACGTTCGGACCGCTACTGGGCCACGGCATCTTTACCTCTGACGGTGAGCACTGGGCTCAATCCCGCGCCATGGTGCGCCCCAACTTCGTGAAGGACCAGATCGCAGATTTAGAAAAGCTCGAGGAATTGATGCTGGGTCTACTGGAGTTGATCCCTACAGACGGCTCAACTGTGGACCTACAGGATCTCTTCTTCTGCTATACCCTCGATTCCGCCACCGAGTTCCTCTTTGGCCACAGTGTCCAGAGCTTGAACCAGCTTCGTTCCGGTGTAGTATCTGGCGAGAACTCTTTTGCTTCGGCTTTTAACTATGCCCAGCATGCTATCGCTAGAAACACCCGTCTCGGTTTCTTGCGGCGGTTTGTTCGTGACCACAAGGCGATGCGATCCAATCGTATCTGTCATAATTTGGTTGAGCAGTTTATTGATAAGGCTCTCAAGTACCGTGAAGACTATACAAAGAAGACTTCCGGTGACGAGGAAAGGCGCTCCCGCTATTTGTTCTTGCAAGGTCTGGCTGAACATACAGGTGACCGCGACCGCATCCGTGATGAACTCATGAACGTTCTCCTTGCCGGCCGTGATACCACCGCATCGCTACTGAGCAATTTGTTCTTCATGCTGGCAAGGAACCCAAATATCTGGAAGAAGCTGCGTGAGGAGGTCGCGACGCTTAACGGTTGCGCGCCCACGTACCAGCAGCTTCGGAATCTGACTTATCTCAAACACTGTCTAAATGAGTGTAAGTTTCCGAAGCACAAATGTGCCATTAGCTGGCAAGGCTCATGATTTACTGTGTAGCGCTCCGTTTTCACCCAGTTGTCCCAGTAAATTCTCGTAAAGCACTCAGCAATACTGTGCTGCCAGTCGGTGGCGGTCCCGGCGGGAGATCCCCTGTTTTCGTGCCCAAGGGCACTATCGTGTTCTACAGCGTGTGGGCAATGCATCGCCGTCAAGATCTTTATGGACCTGACGCAAATGAGTTCCGCCCGGAGCGCTGGGCAGATCTGCGCCCAGGATGGGAATACTTACCATTTAACGGTGGTCCTCGGATTTGCATCGGCCAACAATATGCTTTGACTGAAGCCGGATACGTTACTGTCCGTCTAGCACAGCAGTTCTCGACTCTGGAGAGCAGGGACTCTGGCCCGTGGGAGGAAGCACTCACCCTGACTCTGTGCTCTCGAAATGGAACCAAGGTCTGTCTAAGGAATTGAAGCCTAGAGTGAGGTCAGATTCTGGTCATCCACATCAGATGTTATTCTGGAATACCCTCGCATCAGATGAAGTTGATCTCCCGTTTTCAGCATGGTTGGGTACTTTCAATGAGCCGAGATAACTGGCTTAAAGCAACATATTACTTCATAAGGGCAGACTTTCTAAAAGCATACTGGCAACTATTGTAATGCGGACCACTGTGAGGAGACACATCATGTATTTCATACAGAGCTGCCGCGCAGTAGTATGCCTGTAGCTTGTGTTGTTTCATGGATCAATTGTCTTTACTGCGGCATTTATATGGTTTGAGGCGTTCGGGGCCATATTCTTTGCTTTGAATGGTGAAATTCCTGCATGGCTAGCATAGCGGACTCGATCAGGACCGGGCGCTTGCTTGGAGAAACGGAGGGGGCACGGATGGGTACACTAACTCATGTGTCAAGCTATATAATGGGCATAAACAAGACTAGCTTGGGCGAGGAAACACAAGCTAATAGTGGAATTGGACAATACTTCATTGCTTCATATGAGAGGTGTGACATTTTGGAAGTCAGTTACCTGATATCTTCGTACCTTTCTGGTTGGTACGATTAGACCATGTATGTAGCTAGCTCATACGCCAGAGGAACTCCCCTCTTCTTCCTCATCAATTCAATAATCATCTGATGCGAACCACCGTGCTTCATGTAAATTGCTGCAAAAGGCCTTTGAAGATAATATATGCGGTGGGAATTCCGGTCACTTTGCAAGAGATATCTTAGTAAGTTCTACCAACGAGGCGATAAGTTGTGCCTATGGAATATGTAGGATTCCAGTCATATTACTACACAATAGCCTATCACTGGGATATCTGGGGTTTACCATGGATATGTTAGTACTCGGCCGGGTCCTCAGCACACAGTTGAATTACTACTAGCAGTATCTACTTAGTACTAGCACTCCAGACACAGCTGTGGAGCTGTCCAGGTTACTCCAGCTAGCTTGATTGGCTATCCCTTCCACACCATCCTATTGGTGAAATCCCCGGGGACGGTGGGGTCAGGTGACCGAGGCACGATAGGTAAGCGATTAGTACTAACTAACAGGTCACTAGTACTACTATTACCTAGTTCTAGTAATGATGGATTCTCCATGCTCCATCCACTCCATCTCCCTCACTGCCATCCATCACTCAATCCGCAATGCTGTATAATGTCGTTTCTTTGCGATCAACACCCCTGGTTAAACGGAGGAAAGTGCGCCGAGCATGTGAGTTTTGCCGTCAACACCGGGTCCGCTGCGATGGCGGATTACCCTGTGGCCAGTGTCGTGCGAACAAGATCCAATGCAGCAAGCCGACCCAGCACTCGAAACCACCTCCTGGTAACCGGAAACTGCAGCCGGTTGCTCCACGGAGTCCCCCGCCAGCCCAGTCTGCACCGCCATCCACCCCGTATCAGGCCGGCCCCGACCAGCAATTGAGGCCAAGATCCAGTTCACAGGGGAGTCTATCCGCACCCCATGCTGCCATCGCTCCTCCGCCCCAGCAGTTGGACTCATTCGCCAGCTTCACCTCTCGGATGAATCGTTTCTGCTCTATGGTATCGCAGATGTCAGCACGCCCATCCCCTCAACCTATCGATCCGGGTCCTTCAGACGTTCAGTATTCCTCGCCAGAATTGCTGAGAAGAAGCGAGTCAGATGTGCCACACCTGCCGCTGGAAAACTTACAGGAACTTCAAACAGCCCTGTTTGATGTCTTCTGGACTCGGTATTATCTCTTAATGCCGATTGTTAGCCCGGAAGACTTGACAACCAAGTCAGGTCGAAAGTCTGAGCCCTTGCGGCAAGCTCTGATGGCCTACTGTTTACAATCAATCCATTACGCGGGGCTTCATGACCGCTTGCTAAGCATTCAATTGGGATCAATATCATCGCACGCAGGGGATAATTTCGCTCAAGCCCCTTCGCTGGCTAGCCTGTATGTTGCTTTTTTCCAACGGGCTCTTGGGACGAACAGCTACTATCTCATGTACGCAGAGCCTTCCTTAGTAGACGTGCAGCGGCATCTCTTTATGGCCGCTTTTCTACAGAACTCTGGAGAATACCAGGCAGCATACAATATCATTGGCGTGGCGCTGCGACTTGCACAGTCGCTGGACCTACAGCACCCCCTGGTATCACGTGCGACCACACACGAAGCGGAAACGCGCCATCACGTTTGGTGGACATTGGTACACCTCGACTTCCAGTGCTCACGGTTTCTGGGAAAGCCTATGTCTGTCTCCCTGAATGATGCGACACTCAACACGCCACTCTCAAGCCCTCAACATCCTTGGCCAACCTCGGAGCTCGGATTTCACTCGGCGTCGGTTTCGCTCACTGTGGTAGCAAGGAAGATGGTCGAGGAACTGGAGCATCATGCGCGTGATGTGTCAGGGACAACTGATCGATATACTCAGATTGAGCGCCATGCGCACCATTTGTCGCGGGAAATCAACGGCCTGTACCGATGGAGGGATCAGATTCTGGAAGCGAACCTATACGCCAACATTACACTTGCCTGTAATGTTTATCAACCAGACGAGGCTACTACTTCCATGGATCGGCTGAAACACGGTCGTCAGAATGCAACATTGTCGTTTCATGAGGCCCCAGCGCTCACCTTACAGAAAACACTTTTAGAGCTTCAATACCATGACATTGTTCTCTGGGCTCACCGGCCATTTATCCAGTTCCCAAGTCGCGGCTTGGTTCCGCAACGGAGTCCACAAGCCGATATACACGCCACCACAGCACTACAACATGCGCTAACCGTCACAGACCTCATACACCAGCGCATGCTTTATCACGATGCTCTCTATGGATGTTCAGAAATTTACCAGTACGTGTGGAACGCCGTTCTCACGCTTGTGGGGTTTATGCTGGCCTACCCCCTATGCTACTGGTTCCCACTTGCTCAGCAACATGTTGAGCGATCACTTCCGATCTTTGAGGGGGCAGGGACAATCAACCCAATTGCATCTCGAGCGGCTCACCGGACGCAGTATCTACTAGGGAGAGTCAGTGCCCTCATAGAGTTGCTTAGTTCGCAGTCATCTGCGTTTGGCAATCGCAACGATTACCAGATGGTACAGACCGACGACCACATCGAAACGGAGAACCAGCAATCTGTGCCCTTTACATCCGAGGAGGACTCTCTATGGTCATTTGCAGATACTGTCGACCCTAACACCTGGTCTGGTTACTGTCACGAAATCAGTGATTTGCTGATGGACGTGCCCGAGATACATATGGGGAGTTCTTATTGAGCCTTATAACAACCATCATCCTCGGTTCATATACAAGTGCGCACATCGTATAGAACTGAGACTCGATTGCCTATGCCGAGATACGTGAAAACTCCTCGATATACAACAACCTATAATATCTTGATACACACAATCTTGGGGGCGACTAAACTTCATCTATAGTCAACGAGAACGCGACGCCGTTGCATGGAAGGAAGTCCCTAACGGAAGGTTATGGCGAGAGCTCATCAGATTAACTGGCCTAATTTCAGGGCATCTGACGAGGACAACTCCGTTTCCTTAGCTTCAAGCTCTGCTAGATCCCAATTGGAGGATAGGTGACGTCCATTGAGGTATTGCGGACGTTTCACAGCCAAGTAAACCGTAACGGCACCTGGGAGTTCCGCTATACCAGACCAAAGCAAGTTGTCATTATTAGCATAAGGACTCCGAAATTGCCAGTGATGATGTTCGTGAACATACCAGTGTCTCTAGCAAATGGCTTAAATGAATCCAGCGTCATGCTGGTATGTACGATACCCGGGGAGAGGCTGTAGGTGGCGACCCGGGGGTTCTCAGCTGTGATGAACTCGGTGAATTTGGCCACAGCCAGTTTACTGATGAAGTAACTGCTCAATCCAGGCGGCGTGAGGCTAATGGTGGAAATGAGGTTGACCACGGTGGGCCGAAAATCAGCGCTCTCAGAGGCGATCAGACGCAGGTATGCCGCAGTGACAAGGTATGTCCCCCGTACATTGACCTCAAAGTCTTTCCACCAGGTGTTGGAGTCCGATTGGGCAACGGGTGCTATCGAGGAAAAGACTCCAGCGTTGTTGATCAAGGTGTGAGCGACGCCAAAGTGGTTTTTGATAGTGTCGAAGGTCTGCGCTACTGCCTTCTCATCGGTGATATCCGTGGGAAGAGCCAGCACTTCAACAGAGGGGAATTCGGCTTGCAAAACTGCTTTCGTCTCCTCAGCCGACTGAGCAGACTGAGTCATAAGGACTAATCCCTTGACGCCGGACTGGGCGTGTGCTCGCGCGATAGCCTGGGGTAATCACGGAGGTCAGTCGTGACTGCGTCTGTAACGAAATTGGGCCTGTTCTCACTCGACCAATTCCCTTTCCTGCGCCTGTGACGATGGTTACTCTATCTTTCTGGGACAGCTCTGGCCGTGACGGATCGATGGTGGAATAGACGTCGCGGTAGTATTTCTGTGTTATACAGCCCGCACGGGTGAACTGGTCGGGATCAACCTGGGAGTCAGACATGGTTCTTGCGTGAACAAGTTTAATTCTCTTTGGCTTCGGTAATGAGGACAAGTAGCTTTCTTTTCTTTTTTCTTATTTCCTCCTACGCCTTTGTCTGCTATTTATCTCTACTTCTCGGTGCCATCCACTCGGTCGGCTAACTCCGCTGAGCGTGGAGCCGTCCCTCGGTCTAACCGTAAGGAGCAACCATTACCCCATTTGGTAACCCAGCATATTTCCCTATGGTTCAATGCTTGGAGGCTTCTTGGGAGCTCCTTTAAAGTCCTAGCAACATCGCGCCCAAGACAAGTCTATAGAGCGTGGCCGAGCTTCCTACTGGCTAGACACATGTATTATGGAGATATTGGGCTGCGAGAGTAACGCGTACAATGGGAGTCAAGAGACGCATCAGGGTGCAGAGCTCGATCGACTGGTTGCCAATTTTCTCGATCGCCAGACTACCGCTGCATCAGAGCGCTTGAGTGGCATCATATTCAAAAATCTGTCTGTCATAGGCGCAGGAGTTGGGGTTTGTTTCCGACACATGGAGTTGACTATGGTTTCCATAGCACTAACTTGACCAGCGCCAACGGATGTCCGATGTTCCCGAATCTCTACGACATCTAATAACGCTCGCCAACCCGGTAACCTGGTTTTCGCGGAAGAGAACCACATCTCGACCAATTCTGCAGCGGCTGACTGGTTCAATCCGTGAAGGGGAAATGCTGATGATCGTGGGACGCCCGGGCAGTGGGTGCACCACCGTTCTGAAAGCCTTGTCGAATATGAGGGATGAGTATCTGGGATTGGAGGGTGACGTCTGGTATGGCTCGATGGACGCCCCGACAGCCAGGCGACTTAGGCCCAACCAGGTGGCCTTCGTTGGTATGAGAGTCTCCCACGCCCCAATTGAAACATGCACTAGCTAAAAGGGCCATGCACTTTTACAGGGGAAGATGACATCCACTTTCCGACTTTATCTGTCAGCAACACGCTAAGATTTGCCCTCAATGCCCGGCATCCTAACTCTGATCCGAACCGAGCCTCCAGCATTGAAGAAGATCTTCAAACTCTACTGCAGCTGATGGGCCTTGCTCATGCAGCTCATGTCCGAATTGGAAATGACCATCTTCGTGGAGTCAGCGGCGGCCAGCGTCGTCGTGTCTCCCTCGCTGAGGCTCTCTGCACGCGTGCAAGGCAAGTCATCATCCGATGCTTCTCACAACAAACGATATAAGCTGATTTCTCTGTCACCTAGCCTTTTTTGCTTTGATAATCCTACTCGGGGGTTGGATTCGTCAACTGCCCTCCGCTTTCTCACTACCATGCGCAAATACACTACCCGCAGTCGATGCATGACCGCCATGTCTTTGTATCAAGCTAGTGATGTTGCAGTTTCAATGTTCGATAAGATCTTAGTTTTAAACGACGGTCACATCGCCTACTATGGCCCGGCGACATCAGCCAAAGCCTACTTTGAGTCCCTTGGATTCTACTGCTCTCCGAGGATTTCGGTTTCCGACTTCCTGGCATCTATGTCAGGGGATCCGACAGGTCGGAAACCGCGGGATGACCTTCAGAGGCCGGTGCCCGTTCAGCCCGCTGATTTTGAGGCCAGATTCAGAGAAAGCAGCTTCTATCAGCAGACGGTGAGCGAGGCCGCAAAGCCACCTCAAGGAGCAGCAAGTGGAGATTCCAGAGCATCAGCATACGCTTTGCCCCTTTACCGTCAGGTATATGAGTGTACAGTTCGCCATTATCAGATTTTTCTGACTGATCGGGCTGCCTGGATTGCCGAGGCGGGCGGCACAATCGTCCAAGCTCTGCTTCTAGGCACTCTGTTCCGAAATCAGAGAGCCGTAACGGAAGGGCTTTATACACGCGCATCGGCGCTTTTTTTCTGCGTTTTGATTATGGGTTTGCAGTCTTCTGCCGAATTTGGGAATACATTTGTTCAACGCCCGATCTTGCTTAAGCAGAAGGCGTTGCGATTCTACCGACCCGCGGCCTACGCGCTTGGTCAGATCCTCGCCGACGTACCTTGGAAGTTTATCTTCATCTTGTACTCGCTGCCCATATACTGGATGATTGGCTTCCAGCGTACAGCGGGGAGCTTTTTCACATGGCTGGTGTGCCTCTACATGGGCCTAATGGCACTGAGTGTCATGTTTCGAGCCATAGCTGTCTTCACAAATTCCATCACTCGGGCCATTCTTCCGGTTGGGCTCTTACTCAATGTGCTAATTATCTACACAGGGTTTTATATCACACCTCCAGGAATGAAGGTCTGGTTATCTTGGATCCGCTACCTTGATGTCAGTTGAAACAAAAAGTCATCGCAAGACTTGTGTACAAAAATTGCTAACCTCCTCATTATCTGAACTAGCCCATGTACTATACTTTCGAGTCCATCGCTCTCAACGAGATTGGGAGCAGTTCATATGCATGCAGCCTTCATGACATTGTTCCTCGGGGTGAGTTATACAATGAAACCAGCCTCCAGGCCTGTGCAGTGTCTGGCTCCGTAGCAGGTCAATTGAACCTTTCTGGAAGACTCTATTTGATGGTCGAGTATGGATTTGAAGACTTCCATTTATGGCGAAATGTTGCAATCAATGCGGCCTTTTTCGTCTTCTTTTCAACTGTGGTGACGTATGTTTTCTTTCCCTAGATAACCCATAATCATAAAATGGGTCGACTAATTGTTTTAGCATTGGAATGGAGCGATTTCGCCATGCATCTGAGCAGATGGCAACGATCTTTTACCGCAAGCTGCCGTCGTGGGCGAACACTTCACCCACTCATCCTGCGGATACCGAAGAGCCACAGTATGTCACTGACTCTAAAGAACTCAGACCCTCCTCCGACAGTGAGATGGCCCCTATCAGCTGTCTGAACAACACACAAAATGTGTTTGCGTGGCATGAACTGTCACTCGAACTTGATGACGGAAGGCACCTACTTCACCAAGTTTCAGGTAAGAGCTTGTTGTCTGTTATTCAAAGATTATATGTCTCATAAGGCTCTATGGTGTAGGATGGCTTCAACCGGGAAAGATGACTGCATTGATGGGGATGTCGGGAGCCGGCAAGGTAAGTTGTGCCAATTTTTACAAGTCGTTATTTGCGCATGGATCCCCAGTCTAAAAGACATGCTGCACGAGTAGACTACACTTCTCGATACCCTGGCTCAGCGTATCCAGATTGGCCGCATATCTGGAGGACTCTACCTGAATGGGCAGACACTTCCAGCGTCGATGGGCCGCCGTACAGGTTTCGTCCACCAGAATGATATCCACCTGGCATCGTCTACAGTGCGCGAAGCACTCCAGCTGAGCGCATGCCTCCGCCGTTCGGAAGCGGTTCCCTGGGAAGAAAAGATGCATCACGTGGAGTTCCTCATCCGGCTTTTGGAAATAGAAGATATCGCCGAAGCAATCATCGGGGTACCAGGGGCGGGGTTGAACCTCGAGCAGCGCAAGCGGGTCAGCATTGGGGTTGAGTTGGCTGCAAAGCCGGACATTGTTCTTTTCCTTGACGAGCCCACATCCGGGTTGGATGGCAATTCGGCACTTTCCATCGTGCAACTGATGCGCAGGCTATCTGATGCTGGGCAGACCATTCTCTGCACAATTCATCAACCATCTGCGCAGATGATCGAACAGTTTGATAATTTGCTTCTGCTGGTCCCAGGTGGTAAAATGGTAAAACCGTTTATTTTGGCCCGTTGGGGTCTCAATGCCAGACGATAATTGATTACTTCGCTCGGTATACGCGATGCTGCCGGGAAACAGAGAATCCAGCAGACTACCTTCTGGAAGTCAGTGCGGAGCCCGACCTTGACTGGTTTCAGGTATGGTTTATCATCCCCACCTCAACGATTTACTCTCCATTCCGCAGTTCGTTTCTCATCTGCTGACCATAACAGACTTGGCAGCAGTCGCCCGAGTATGCCTCTACCCAAAAGCAGCTTCAGCACTTCTTCCAGTCACAGGAAGGAAATGCTTTGTCGTCGTCAGGCTCTGATCGAGCATATGCAGCTTCCTTTCTCGAGCAAATTCGAGTGGTCACCCAACGGGCTTTCACGAACTACTGGCGCGACTCGGACTACGTGTTGGGAAAAATCCAGCTCAATGTCTGGATGGGGCTGATGAATGGACTCACATTTCTCCAGCTATCCAACGATCTCACTGACTCCCGCGGACGGATGTTTTCTATCTTCGTCGGAGTAATCACCGGGCCCGTGCTCAGCCTCCAGATCGAACCTCGCTTCATCCTTTTGCGGGATCAATTCCTGGCACGGGAGAACGAGTCGCGTGTATACCACTGGAGCGTCTTTACCGTCACTGCGCTGCTGGTGGAGATCCCGTTCACACTCCTTGGCGGGCTGATATATTGGGTTCTCTGGTACTACATGGTAGGATACTTCACCATCTCAACGCGAGCCGGTTACGCATTTCTCATGTACGAGCTCTACTCGTTGTTTGTCGCAAGTATCGCTCAATTGACGGCCGCACTGTTTCCCACCGTCTTGGCCGCACAGGTGGCCACTGGATTCGTCTGGCTGGTGATAAACACCTTCAATGGGCCCCTCTCACCCCCGCCTCTGACACCGCGCGGATGGCGCTGGTTCTATAACATCTCGCCCTTGTTTTATTTTATCGAGGGGATCGGTACCAATGCCATGCATTCGCTTCAGATTGCCTGCCGTGACTCTGAGCTGACCACGTTCCATGTGCCCACCGGGGAGACATGTGCCTCGTATGCAGCTGAGTTCTTCGCTTCAGGGAGTTCCACGGGTTACCTAGCAAATCCTGACGCGACTGAGGAATGTCACTACTGTGCCTATGCGGATGGAGATCAATATGTCAGTTTTCGATTCCTCCAACCCCTGTTCGTCTCCTTCGTTCCACACGAGAAACTGCTAACAGGTCCTCTTGAAATATAGGTCAAGCAATATGCCATGAGCTACTCACAACGTGGCAACAACGTCGGCATCTTTATTGGATTCATTCTGTTTAATTACACTATGGCGGTATTGGCAACCTATTTGATCTTTGTATTTAAATGGCGGAAACAACGGAGGACTTGATTGTTGGACATTGTGCAACATATCCTTGGTCGCCATGTTGAACAGTTTCTGGCGGCTTGGGGGATGGTTTGATAGATAGAAGAATAAGATCAGATATTTCAGAATAATGGAGGGGATATTGATGTACGCCCAGTCTCCAATGTGCTCGCTCTTCGCTGTGATGTGTCGACCATTGTAAGGGTACTTGCATTGACTCATTCAATGCTGAGTGTCAGAAATCTGAGAATTACACAACCACTGTGCAGTATATATCAACAATTCTTTCTCTGCTTTGTGGAATGGGAGACGAATGTGGCATTGTATCGCTTTCAGCGTGAACAATTATTCTCTTCGAACGATATACCTGGGAGGAATTACCTGCCTTGTGCGATCGAGTAATACCTTTGATTCTGCCCATCATTTCTCTGTTGGCATCCGGCACCCACTTCAATAAACCAGTCACAATATAGTCGGTCACTGCATATCCACAGTGATACCGCAATCTAACTCCTTAGCGTCATAATAAGTGCGTCACCGTAGAATAGTCAGACCGGCTCATCTGAATGATTTTGAAGAAAGTGGCCTTGCAGCGGGCGTGGTCGTGGCGTAAGACAAGACCTCGTAAGACGTTGTAGGCGGCGTCATCCGCATATTTTCTGCATAGCTAGATGCATCTAATCCCGCTCTCGCCTTGCGAGAGAGTGAGCGATGCATCCATCTTCCTATAGCAATTGATAAATGGCGCTAGGCGCAAAGTTGACGTGGGGGTTGTCGAAATGAGGTAAGTCTCTTTGGATAAGATGCTGCAAATCGAGCCCGACAAGGTCGCTGAGATGCCATTTGCTTGGGTAGAAGGTTGTAGGGACCCTAGTAGTATTCCGGCTCCCGTTATGTGACGCAACGAATGGTATCTTTACGAGGCCATCTCAATGGACTATGAAAGCGGAGTGGTGTTGTAATCATAAGGAGATTATTCTAGCCTTGCAGCCATTGACAACTGAGGCGAGGTTATGTCTGGCGGTGACCAGCCATCTAGCAGCTGTTGGATACTGTGGACCTAGTGTTCTTTTTCGGTGCCCTAATGGGTTGTAGAGTTCTGGATAGCTTCACCGGTCTATATGCCAGGCACATAACCTATCTCGGCAGCGCTACGCAGCAGAAAGAGAGGCAGAGAATATTGCTGAAACACGTGCCTGGGCCCGATCGATTTCGTGGCACTACCTGTCTAGAGACCATTGTGGCCTTGTACTCGTTCCTTTGGCATCTGTTGTCAATCCATTATAATCAAGAACGAAATGGGATAGAATTGAAATAGGAGAAAATAGAAATAGGAGAAAATATTCCAACGAGATATAATTCAACATCCATCATATTAGTTCGCCACAAGGGACAGAAACATGCGCCTTCCCAGGGTCCTAATATCAGTGGCATCGGTAAAATTATTGTTTATCTGTATTGAATCCGGATACCAAAGTAGAGAGACTAGATCACAGCTCCGTCCTCTCCAGCTCCACTGGGGAGGTTCCATCTAGCACGTCCTCCACCCCAAAGGGACGTATATCTGTCTCACAACGCGTGCCTGGTGCCGGAAGCTCCCCAGTTTGAAAATACGCTCGGATATAATCATCTGTACACCCCGAACGCGAAGCGAAGGAACAATGCTACAGTAAATTTCAGTTAGAAGACTTATCACTGAACAAGATCGCAAAGCAAAAATAGAGGGAATGAACTTACACCTTCAGCATGCTGCTCTAATACGACAGACTTTTCAAACAAAGCGGACATAGCATGGGCGCTAATCTTATCGTTAATAGGCCATAGATGGAAATATATGATGAGATAGCAGGGTGATGGGAAACATACTCGCCCAGAGGAGTCACTGGATCCAGAGTATTACTGACGAATAGTATAGGTGTGGACATATCCTGAGCCCCGGTAGGTCCTTCTTCAAGTTAAGCACTTGGGCAGCAGCTAGTTGCAGTGATACAAAAACGAACCTTTGAAATCCCCTGGTCCCCGACCATTCCATCTAGCACACGGCATTAAGAAATCTGCAAACGTGTCCCCCATCCAATGGCTGCTCTCAATGGAAGGCCGAAGATACTCATCCCAGTATTCCTCGCGGGTGGCATTCAGTAGCTTCTGATTTAAGTCCAAACATACGGTACCAGCAGTCACTTCTACGCGGTACGAGTATTGGCATGCCTCACGACACGGAGCATCAGACTGACATTCTGAACTGAGGCAGTGAGCTGGCTGCATTTCCTCGCGTAGCATGGTTTTCCATTCAGCCATGCTCGTTGCGTTCCGTTGTTCGAGATCTGCTAGGATGATAGCGAGAGTGGGGAAAAGGTCGATCGGCGCGTACAAGGCAAGTCTTAGGAGACGTCTCACGTCGGAATAGGTGATTATGTCTGGGCTTGGATGAGTGGTCCAGAGGGGGGACGCTTTCAGATCAGACAGTATATTCGTGAAGCGCTGCTGCAGTTCGCTTATTGCGTTTATATCGTCTTCTCCGTCAGCAGATGGGCTGGCAAAGGCACACCTCGGCTGGCCTGCCTGATGACAATAGCGGAAGAAACTGTCAAATACACGATCTGCGTCGCGCAATGATGTCGACATCTCGCCAGAGTACCAGCTTAATGCATCTACCACCCCGTCTAACACCATCCGTTGGACTTGGTTCGGGAAGAGACTTGCATAAGTGACGCCTAGCAGAGTCCCGTATGAGTAACCCCAGTATTGCAACTTTGCATCTGCGTGTGGATCCGGTTGGAGCAGTTGAGCAATATGATGCAGATCATGTGCCGTACTCCAGGTATTCATGTACGGGCCAATATCCGCATTGTCCTTAGAGGAATCTGTACACGATGTGGCTAGTGCCTGCATGCGGGCCCAAAGATGATCAGCTGCGTGATCGGAGCTACCTACCAAGCCATGAGCTTGCACAGCCTCATTCCAGAGGTAACTAGACAGCAGATCAGGAAAGCAGGTTAAGGGAGGAATGGTATTTCCCACGCCTCGGGGGTCAAAGGACACAATGTCGAAATAGCGAGATTGCTGTGCATCATCGGGGCTGTCTACAGTCCGCTGGATTTCTTTCCCCCGGTTGAGTATTTCCTGCACGCCGGACCCGCCAGGGCCACCTGTATTCCTAGTAAGCGACCGTGGTGGGGTGACAGAATGGTGGCGGTGGTGGCATTGCTGCCTATACCTGGGTTCACGATTATGGAGCCACCGTAACGCTCGTCGGCAGGATCTACCTGTGCAGGCAGTTTTATGACGGCCAGGGCAGCCGTGTTATTTTCAATGGCACTGGCTGACCAGTCTAGGGGAACTTCGAGACGTGCACACAGATAGTCCTGGTAGCATGGGATGAAATTCAGTGCTGAGCCTGGCGCAGTCTGGTAGGAGCGGGTTAGACTGTGAGAAATCTAATAGGGCGGATGAGATCAGTACGCTACTCCAGGAGAAGTCCCCAGCTTGCACCGCAGACGGCATCATGGGTTGGTGTCGCAGGGAGGAGGGTGAGTTGAGTAAGAGAGAATTAATAAAAAGGATGGAGTAGCCGACCATATAAGTACTGGATGAAGTGAGCGAGTTAGCGTCAGCCACGACGGGCTGACATGCATGATCGGGGCACCGCCGGCAACCGATACAGCCTCAGCTCGACGGGGAAACGTGGTTACCTGGACTTAGAAGATCCTAATATAATGAAGATAGCGGAGATAGCAGAAATACGCCACAATTTATTTATTAGGCAACAATCAAGCAAGAGCAGAGTTGGCGACTCATAGTCCCCATGGAGGGGCGCAATGGTTATCTCCGCCGAAATAATCGCTTAATGCCTCTGACGAAGATCTCAGAACGTCCAATCGAGACTGTATTCTTCTCACAAGCAAATCCGAGAAACGTAATTGACCATATGCCTTTATGAGAGCTAGCAGGGATACTTGTTTGTCGATGCGTAGCGACTAATGAAAATGGTTGTTCTTTTTCGCGCAGGGATTTTTTTTCCATTTTGTATTTATTATTTCTTATTTTTATTTTTATTTTTCGGTTTAATAAGACTCGGTGCTTTTGCCTCCCACCCCTGCTGATGCATTGTTTGATATACAGAAGCCTGAGATACTTTAGGTTATGTGACAGAGATATTGTATACCTGATTGTGACTAAGGCAGAAGAGAGCAGGTGAGGCCACACAATGCTGGACACCTACTTTCGATCGTCATCGAAATGAGCGTTGTGGGTACTGGAACGACAAACCATAGATCGGATCTGCATCCGAATAGGCTTTAATTTGTACATTGGTAGGAGTTCGAATGTTTGAAGATCGCGCAGATGATCAAGACCTGTCGGTCTGTTCTGACCCGATTTGATGCTACCCAAGCAGTATGAAAGCGACGGGAGGTGGCTATTCTTACCTTGTCATATGCAACTCATAACGGGTAGTCCCCATGGAGCCACGGCTATTTATTTCTAAGGGCCAACACCGAAAGATTGTGAGATCGTATACCTCCTGGGTATGACGCAACCAGGGTGAGCAGGGTGAGCACTGGCATTGCTCCAATCCATATGGTGGAGGTATGTCTCCGAGACCATGACGCATGTAGACCCTAACCTGTCCCTGATCCAGGGATCTGGTTTGTCACTTGGCGTATTTTAATTAACTGCGGGTCAGGGTCTTGCCGTCCAGACCCAATGGATGAATTGCCTGCGTGGCCCTGCAGTTCCAGCGATCGGCACGGCACGGCTATGACGTCGGTGGGTGTTTCGTTTGATATTTAACCATAGAAGAAGACAGCCTTGTTATGCTTGTTCCTGCCGCAAAATAAAGGTCTATCCTTACCACGTTAAGTGTCAAAATGAGTGGGGTAAGCTTTGCCCGTCAGGCCTTACTCCAGGCTGCTCTTCTTTCGATTGTCTCCGCAATCCCGGCGCCCACGGCCTTCGTCAACAATGTCGCTCCGCCCGAGCCCGTAATCACCCCTTCGCCGGTTCAACATCGACCTTCTCGAGTCGCTGGTCGAAACATTCTGAGTGACGTCGATTCTGATATTAACAGCATCCTTTCTGGCCTTGGATCCGACCTACCCTCCTGGGTCGCATCGGGTGTGCCCAACTACTTCCAGGGTTTCCCTACTGGGGATGCAGTGGTGAGCTCTTTGGGCTTGAACAGCGCTGAGTTGGCAGCCTTGCCCACCAATGTGTTGAATATCGACCCATATGCCAACTGGACTAGCTCTGGCTGGAACGTTCGCTTCCACGGAAACGTCTACAAGCAGCCCAACACCTCCATCTCCGACCTGAATGATTTGGCTGATGTTTTCCTCGGCAATACAAGCATCTCCGACCTTTCCGAATCCGAGCAGAAACAGGCTCGGAATTTAACAGCGGAAATATTAGTGGTCCAGCAAGCTCACGTCGCCGTAAACACGATCCACCTGGAGCCTGCACCGAGTCAGGGATCCAGCGGACAGTCAGGCGGCGGTGGATCCTCTAATACCACTGGCGGCACCCAAGACCTCACTCTGCCCTACAACACTACAGTTGAAGGCGATTTTGACACTTTCGTACCGATTAGCAGCAATGGCTTGACGGCAGGTAATGAAACTTCGGCAATACAACGGCTTAACGTCCATGTGGTGGGCGCGACAATAGGAAACAGCACTGCCTATCTCGTACCTCCGACCGGGCTCACTGTCGTTTCGGACATCGATGATATCCTACGCGTCACCAAAATCTATGAACCAGAGCAAGGTTTACTCAACTCATTTGCGCGCCCCTTCAGGCCGTGGGAGAATATGCCGGACATCTATCGCAACTGGTCGATCAGTTTCCCCAACCTGCACTTTCACTACCTCGTAAGTCTGCTAGATGTCCCTGATTGCATTGTTGCTGCGTACTCACCACTACACTACAGACGACGACCCCCGAACAAGTCACCAGGAACTACATGCAATTCATCTACGACAACTACCCTGGTGGATCTTTCGACACCCGTCCCCTCAACTTTAGCGACGTTTCCGCCACCTTGTCGATCCGGAAATTCCTCCTGCAAAAGGTCTTCGAGACCTTTCCGCAGCGCAAGTTCATCCTCATCGCCGACACCAGCAACAGCGACGTCATGCGTGACTATCCTGAAATGGCGACCGACTTCCCTGGTCAAGTGCAATGTATCTTTCTCCGGAACACCAGCGCCACCGACTCAGGGGACAAATTCCCATACGATACCTCTGGGTTTAAGAAGCTCAATCAGTCAAACTACATGTTCTTCTTGCATCCCGATGACTTGACAAATCTAGACATCGCGAATGGCCAGTGTTACAACACATCCATTCCGCAGAATTTGACGTTTAGTTATCAGGGTTTGCCATTGGGGCTGGGTGATGAACCCACAGCTGTCAATGGGTCTGCAAATCATACTGCTGAGTCGGCGGCCGGTTTGTCGGTAAAGGGTGGGACTGATATGCAGGGTTTGATCTTTCTGTTCACCCTGGTTACGGCCTATTCCATTTTCTTGTAAATATCAGTTACGACGTATGAGAAATATGATTTTGATATACTCACGGCTCAATTTACGTTCCAAAACCGAATACAGCGGATATCTATGCTCGATGCAGGGACTACCACTATGTTACACTACTAAGGGTTTATCTACTATGGTAAATATTAGTGCTTGGTTTGTTACAGCTCACTCGAGCTTGCGTTACTAACCACTTTTATCGGTCCATGGATCCACCGCACAACGCAGTACTCCCAGGAGCTGGCCGCAATGGCCAGTCAAGTAGATTAAATCTCCTCTGCTAGGAATTGCATGGGTTTTGACAGACAGAACTCGGGGAAAGTATCGATATTCAATGATCTGACGGTGGCCCCCAAATTCGCTAGGCTAGCCCTTCATCACTAGTAATATTAGTTGTCCAACTTTCCCGCTTTACACGTTCCATAGCAGACCCCCAATTCCCAGCCAAATCCTCATATCCTTTAGGAGTAGATAGCGCCCAACGCTTACCATTTCTTCGATGACAGGCGCATAACATTATCCCCAGCTCGTCAGCAATATTCCCCCATCCCTTCTGTATAATTCGCCTTGGACCTGTCACACCCTGTACTGCGATGCAGTTATGTGGAGGGACCTTCATCCTTCACGGAGTCAATCTGTCCGTCTGTATACCACAAGTCACATATCACCATGCGAAATGGTCGGGTATGCATGAAGAGCGATATAAATATGCGATTAAACGCTGCAAACTGTCACTTCGAGACTAGACATAAGATGTGGTCGACAGGTCGGTGTTCTAAAAGTATACCTTGTTCATAATTGTCCGGTGTGCGCCTCGGCTGAACTCCGGCGCTTATCTAGCCCGCGGTTAATGCAACCTCACCACGCGATCGTCGTCACCTGTCTTGACAGTTCAAGTCATCTCCTATCCATCTATCCTGGTCATCTCTCATCAACATAAACGCAATAAACCCTTCCGAGGCTACCTAGTTCTCTTCACAGCTATTCCTTGTTCAACACAAGTGATAAACCTGCGAAACCATGTCTCTCCAGCTTTCCAACCTCTTCGGCGTCAAGGACAAGGTACGTGTACTGACTACTCCAATCCAACAATGCTAGTACCATGCCTAACAAGTGTACATATTGTCGTGATCACCGGCGGAGGCACCGGACTCGGCAAAGGCAAGCTAAACTCTCCGCCATTCAGCAATTACGAATCTAACTTTTGAGCCCATTGCAGCCATCGCAGAGGGGTTTTCTACCAATGGTGCCAAAGTATACATCACGGGACGTCGTGTTGAAGTCCTCGAGAAGGCTGCAGAAGAACTGCGTGGAAGAGCTGCACCTGGTGGACAAGTGATTCCGTTAGTCGTTCTTCCCATCCGGGTAATCCTCAGACTGACGTCACATCATTATAGGATCAAGGGTGATGTGAGCACCAAAGACGGCTGTGGTCAGCTCGTTGAGCAGATTAAGCAGAGAGAGGATCATGTATGAAAATGATGGATTTGATAAGGATGGAAGGATCCGCTAACTAGTGTCTCAGGTCGATGTGCTTATTTGCAATGCTGGTTTGCAAGGGAAAACCGACTATCCTCCTTGGGATCCCACTGATCGTAGGATTTGTCGTGAGCTTTGGTGGCTGCATTGTGCGCTGATAGATGAATAGCCGACTCTACTGAGAAGGGCTTGTGGGAGAGTGTCGATAAGTATGTCTCAGATAATCTCCTTTGGTTAATACGTAATATTGATGTGCCAAAGCGAGTCCTTCACCTCGACAAACGATGGTATGCGGAGCTCTTTGTACAATTTCGGTAAGATAGCTAATGGGCCATGCGGGTAGTCAACATCAGTGGTGTCTATTTTACCGCCGTCGGATTTCTCCCGCTGCTGCGAAAGTCTTCGGACCCTAGCGTGGTCGTGATTGCTTCGTTGGCTGGCATTGTTATTCAGAGGTAACTACTCCGGTACTTATGCTGCTGCAAAGATAGCTAGAATGGGGTATTGATCTGCAAAACAGGGCCATGGGTGCAATGACTTATGCTACTTCGAAAGTAGGTGATCTCGATATCCAGCAGTAAGCCAAGGTCGGTTGCTAACATGAATCACAGGCTGCTGGTACGTTTAGTTGCCAGTCATTAGTACCTCTAATTTCAACTAACAATTCCTAAAAGCCCTCCACTTGTCAAAGCTTCTGGCGGGCAGATTTGCCCCGTATGTATCTTTTACCTGTCACCCCACCACGGTTATGGATATGGGACTGGTGATTGTGAGTCCCTCTCACGCTCGCTGATTTCTTCATTAGGATGAAAGTCCGCGTCAACTGTATCTGCCCTGGAATCTTTCCTAGTGAAATGACGTTCGCCGATACTACCAATAACACGGATAACCTCAACCCTTTCGCAGAAAGCGCCGCTAAGCGGGCTCCTGCTGGTACGTGATTCACCCGGACAACTTCCATATACAGTCCTAACAGGCTAACACATATCACAGGACGCCCTGGGTATCCCGAAGAGATAGTTGGACCGTGCCTGATGCTGAGTTCCAAGGCCGGAGGTTACATGAACGGAGGATATCTATTGGTCGATGGTGGTAGAGCAATGGTACGTCTTCTGCCTTCTAATTTAGCCGTAAATTGGATGCTAATCCCAGCCAAGAGCGCATCGATCAATGATGGTATACACATGCCAGAGGACACATACGTGTGGTAGATTAGCTTGTACCCAAGACCTTAGCTACAGCTACCACCCAAAACCGCCGAAGTCCGACACACTAATGAGATAGCCGGTCATATAGAAAAGTCATAATGCATTGATTGGATATCTCCAATCAAACCTCATAGTCAAATATTATATTTCTATCATTAGGAGATACCATCTACCGCCCCTCCGTAACACTCTTCAACTCATTCAACATTCCCGCCCTAAAAACCCCGACATCCGTAATCACCGAAATCATATCAAATCCCTGCTCCGCACGCACGCGGGAATCCTTACCATCCGTACAGAAGATAGCGGCCTTCTTACCCGCTGCATGCGCAGCCTTCAAAATTCGCTGAATAGCCGCTTCATGCTCCTCCCCGCCCCTCGTAACACCCATCTGCTTCGCCAAATCGAAGGGTCCGATGAACAGGACATCGACGCCTTCAACAGCTGCGATCTTCTCTACATTCTCGACACCAGCCTTCGACTCAATCTGCACAACTACAATCGTGCCTGTTTGCGAGCCTTCGTCGTACTCTTCACCGGGCGCAACGCCGGGGAATGCGTGCGGCGCGAACATGGGGCCGTAGCCTCGTGTGCCGAGGGGTGGGTATTTGGTCCATTGGACGATTTTGGCCGCTTCGATCTGGTTTAAATTATTAGACATAATACTTTTTGGAAGTTTTTGAGTAAGGAGATCGGGGTACGCACTTCTGAATGGCACATGGGGGTCATGACTCCGTGAGCACCGGCGTCCAGCGCCCGTTTGATCATCCATTCCTCTGCGCAGGGGACCCGGACAATCGGGCTTACGTTCTCGGATGCGATGGCGTTGAAGAGCTAATATTGGTCAGTCATGGCATGAACTTGGATGAATGGCAGATCTACTAACCTCATAGTAATGGCGGTCGGATATTAAACCGTGCTCGGCGTCTACTAGGACCCAGCTGAATCGGCCCGGGCTGGGGGGTTGGCCGTGCAGGATGGTCTTGGCGACAGCGGCACTAGGGAGACTGTATTCATTCACTCAGGTCGAGTTCATTATGGAATGAAGAGCTAAGAAGAGTGGATGTGGATGAACATACGTGAGCCAGAAACCAAGGGCCGTGGAAGCGCTCCGAAAGGTGGAGGTGATGGCGGTTTCGAAGGGCATATTGGAAATGATCCTGAGCGTGGTGTTAAAATATGGATCCTCTTGGGGTGCTTCAGCTACAGCAGGCATACGTACCTTTACTAGGATATGTTCGGCGTAGACTTCAATTGGGATCAGTATGAAAGAAGGTTGAAGTTCATTTCGATAGAATTCAGTTGTCCGCTTAAGAGCTCGGTGTCCTCTGCCCCGCCGGTTACGGTCCTCGGCTAACCGATCGCATCAACTCCGACCGCAACGGGGTAGTTGACCCCGAAGCCATTTATTGTCTTGAAACAATAACAGTGACCAGCAAAGTTCCTTGTGGTGTTCCTAATATTCAAACTCTTCTACACGTAGCAAACTGTGAATTTATGTTGGCTGGGCTATTCAACATCGTCAAATAATTGCTGAGGTAACCACAAGTGGCAGGTTGGATATGTTATCTGAGATGAGGAAGATATTGGACTGGCAATGAAAGGGTCCATCCAGTCTGAGGCTCAATGACTCATCGATATCGTTTGCTAACATAGCTAAATTTGTGAAATCATTAGGCACACAGCTGCCGCGTGTCTATGCAGGTGAGTCATGGTGGCCCGTGACGGATGGAGAACACGGGTGCCTGGTGCAAGCTCATCTGATCTCGTATCAAACGAGACTAGATAAGTATATCTTCTACCTATTTAAGCCTATGAGGTATAACATGGACTCACAAGATGATGCTCGATTCTGAGGAATCCCGCCCCACCCTTGACATCACCACGTGTGCAAAGACCTGCTGAAGCTTAAACCCGGCTTATCACCGCACTCTCTCCCGAACTTTATTATCCAGAGGCCCGATATATCCGGCAGTACTGGTCATGAGAAGAATTTACATCTTTACTCTCATCTCCCATATTCCGTAGTATTGCTAATAGATCTACTATTTATACCATTTACCCCTGGCTTAATTAAATCATCAGTAACCATCACATCAAAACAACAACTTACAATGGCGACAATCCTCTACAACCAACTCTTCGTCACTCCCTCTCTCCCCCCCGCCCCCTTCCCCTTCCACAACCGTACCGTCATCATAACGGGCGCCAACACCGGTCTCGGCCTAGCAGCAGCCCATCACATCGCCTCCGGCCCCATCGGCAAGCTCATCCTCGCCGTCCGCAACCTCTCCGCCGGCGAGTCCGCCCGTGCCGAGATCCTCAATGCCCAGCCCGATTGCGAGCCTCAAACCGTCGAGGTCTGGCCCTTAGATCTGGCCTCCTACGACTCCGTCCGCGCCTTCGCTACCCGCGCAACCACTACGCTCGACCGTCTCGATGTTCTTCTCTGCAACGCGGGTCTCGCGACGTTTCAGTGCTCCAAGGCAGAGGGCCACGAACGCATGATCACGGTCAATGTGATTTCGACGTTCTTGTTGGCTGTGCTACTGGTGCCGAAGTTGAGGGAGACGAGGAGGCTGTGTCAACAGATGGGGGAAGAAGGGCACATCCCTGTGTTGTCGATAGTAGCAAGTGAAGTCCATGCATTTACCAAGTTTCCCGAGAGGAATGCGCCCGCAGAGAAAGGGGTGGGTGTGTTTGAGGCGCTGGATGAGCCGGAACGGTACTATAAAACGATGGCAGAGCGGTACCGCACGTCAAAGTTATTGGATGTGCTATTGGCGAGGGAGTTGGCGGATCGAATAGGGGATGATGATATTGTGGTCAATTGTCTGAATCCGGGGCTTTGTCGGTCGCAATTAGCCAGGGAGATGGATAATGTGGTGGTTAGGATTATGTTGCGGTTGTTGGGGAGGACGGCGGAAGTGGGGAGCAGGACGTTGGTGACGGCTGCGGCGGCGGGGAGGGAAAGTCATGGACAGTATATGTCGAATGGAGTGGTGTGTCCGCGGGAATTATCGTCATTTGTGACGAGTGAGGAGGGGAGGAGGACGCAGAAGAGAGTGTGGGAGGAGTTGAGTGATATTTTGGAGCAGATTCAGCCGGGGATTATGCGGGGGGTGGTTTAATTGTGTGTTTGATTAAGACTGGGTTGTTTGTATACTAATAGTGACCAATTCCACTTAATGCTAATGATGCCCTTTTGTTGATCTGACATCGTGCAGCGTAGGTTGGCGCATTAGAACAACTAAGGAGCTGTAGTCGGTGTAGGTGGAAGTAAGCTGGGTTGGATGAAAGTAACAATCCACTCATAGTTTAGAGCATGGTGTGAATACTACATGCTAGGTGTAGTCGAAGACGTGTACTCCACGCAAACTAGTTGGCAATGAGCACTTGCTATTAAGGTTACTTACTTGCACATCCACCGCTCCTGGTGGGGAGCGGCACCAACAAAAAAGGTTGGAAAAAAAGACAAAAAGAAATGACCTACGCAGGACTCGAACCTGCAATCTCTTGATCCGTAGTCAAGCGCCTTACCATTGGGCCAGCAGGCCTTGTTGAAGATAGTCTTCTTATTTTGCTAAATGAACCAATGGCCAATATTTCTGCACGTCCTCCTACAAGCATTGGTATGTTCTGTCTGTCGAAGTGCATTAGCCAAGGTAGCAAGTAGCTGGTAAGCTCAAGATACAGTTCCGATCAATATACTAATCACTTGAATGGGTTTCTACAGCTATGAGTATGTTTCCAAGTGTGTTCACCATGAAAATCAAAATGAACACTCATTGCGTGATTACCATCTGTCTATATATATTAACAACTTAGGTTTACACCTCGCGGCTCAACTATATGCTAGTACTTACTACTATGGATGCTATCAAGATTTTGACGATATTGAATGCTTCACATCGTTGTCAGGAAAATTCCTCTGCGACCAACCGGCCTGCAACTGTCCTTGACACCGCCGAGCTCCTTTGTGTCTGTTTCGACAGAGCTAAGTAACCTGGAATATAGCTCCGATACTTATCAAATGAAGGATCTTCAAGGGACTACCTCGTATTTAGCTCGCATCAACCACCCTAAATATTTGTCCCCTTGAATTTCCAGGATCACAAGCAGTCTACAGCGTAAGCTCTGTTTGCTTGCTTTTCCTCCCAGAGAAGCCATAGGTCGATGACGCTGTTCCACCTTCCTGGATATATACTCATATTGCAGGTATACCCTGTCCAACTGCTACATAGCCTTGATAACTAGAACCACCCAATCCGTTCAACCCATAGCCGATATCAGCCCATGATGCAGGATACACTGGCCGATTGAGAAAACAAGGCAATATTCCCAAGCCAGAAGACATTTGCTGTAGCGTTGAGCAAATTCACCCCTATATTTGTTTGCGTTTCAAAAGTTAGATAATATACAATTTTTATCCACTGGGCAGATGGAAATGTACGTTGGCTAAGATTCATTTCTGGAGCCGGTTTGAAGGGTGTGGAGATGGCTACCGTCAACCTGAATCAATTTCAAAACTACCCGAACAGGATTTCGGCAAAGTATTTGATCATTTGTATAAGATCGAAGAAATCCATGATGAGTTTGGTATTCTCAAGTCATCTCGAATTATCAGGAATCTGTGTGGAGCCAGGCGTTTCCACCCAAAAACAAGAAAACCTGCTACCTGTTCAAGTATCCGCATCCTCATGAATCAAGTGTAGTTCAATCTGAGCTGCGAGTTATGATGAACGAAGCAAAGTCCGCTTAAGGTTCTGTTAGTTCCCCCTGGCTTATGGCAGAAGAAATACTGACACAGAATCCAGATCAACTTGTTTTTGGACCTCAAGGAAAAAATACACTGCAAGTCAGGATGCCGCATTTGGACGACAACAGGCCTATATACCACGATGGTCTTCACCATTGTGACCATTGTATTCGTGAGTGCCAACAGTACTCCACGCATCTATCCACAATCTAATTCTGATAACAATTTTCAGCTTCCACTTACCTTTCTCTCTTCCATCTTCGCGCTCAATATCGCCCAATTTCCTCACGGGCCTTCGGGCCGTCCGCAGTTTGAAAGCTGGTGGATCTTTCCTTTGATCTGTATGTTATGCCTTATTAGTCTTTCCCGCTTATGTAGATTTTTTAATTTGTTCTCACTGGATGCAGTTGGACCATCCGCAGCCATTGCCATCCCATTAATCGTCGTCGCTTTCAATGTAAATGACTTCATTGTTACCCCCTACTACAAGTGGAAAGCTGGGATGACCTCTTCCCCCGCTGCTTCTGGTCCCGGACGCCAACTCCCCCGAGGGTCAGATGATGCCAGTCGATACGGGCGTGGACGGGTCCGGTCTGTGTTTTCTAGGAAAACACCGAACAAGTCTGAAGATGATAAAGTGTAAGACGGTTAACAATTATCGGGTTAATACGATGGATATAGTGGCTTACTTGTTGAAGTCATTTCCAGATGTTGCTAGAGAATTTGACACATGGTGGACAGAACTGCGACTACATCTAGATTTACGACTGAATATATCTACAAATTACTGGCACTGTATAAGCGACTAGAGCTGCTGGTCTGTGTCATTTATGCATTTATGTTCAATGGCTGTGATGCATCATGTGATATAGCCTGAGAGAAGTATGGTGCACAGCACGGACCCCTGTCTGCCGTACATACCTTTCATAAGCATATATCAATTTATTTTACGGGTGTATGTTAGATGTCCTCCCGTGGGAGATCACACAAAGACAATATACCTCCACCGGAATCATGCTAAGCGGTTTTGTTCCATCCCCGCCGTCTCTCCAGTCTGCCCCGCCGTTTACATACTCAGTGAAGACTATGTATGTAGCCTAAAAAAAAGTGTGAAAGTAAAGCAAAGAAGGCTATTAAACGCTAAAATAGGAGAGTGAATGCATTTTGGGGGTAAAATACATACTGGATACTAACAAAAAAGGAATGACAAGGATGGGATTCGAACCCACGCTCTTTCGAATTGGTGATTTATATTCCTAAAACCAACGCCATAACCACTCGGCCACCTTGCCGTTCTTATCATTTGGTGGGCATCAAGCAGAATATGACCACAGTAATGTTTTTCTGCAGCGAAAAGCGAGCTGATTTTAAGCTTCATGGACAGGAAAAGCGGCATTGCGGCGGAGTAAAGGGCTGGTAAAGTATGTAATTAGTGGGACACGGCACGGCGTATCGAACTTAATGCTAGTATTCACTGGTTATTAACTACGGAGCCGCGGGTCTTGCGACAAGAAGGGATTGGTTCTTAGTTTATTGGAGAGGTGAATGCTAGCGCAGTCACTAGATGGCCTTCTCTCCAGCATACTATGAGGGAGGCAGTCTGGGGTGGAACTTGGCTTGCTTGATCCGAATGACTTGCGGAATTTGCGTGGCCACAGATTCAAACATATACTTCCGTCAATGCTTACGCTCGTACTAATACATTTCTGGTGTCTTTATTAGCCTCTGTTCGGGCTGCTTACCCTTGAGCATCACGGTAATGAGTGGAAGTATTGTGTTGGAATTGGCCATGTCACTGCTTGATGTATGGTCAAGTAGAAAGAGGCTCAACTGAATAACCCTCAATCCAGGAAACAAACTGAGCATCTTTTACGCTGGTCGATAGGTCAATGTTCTGCGGTAGTTTTGGTGTGCTATGCTAAATCCTCGGCAATCTCGGAAGGGGCTTATTTTACTCTATTTCTAGTTCTATATCCATCACTATCTATCAAGGGATGGAAGGGGTTGGCTGACTGGCTGTTGGCGAGTCAGTCGGATCGAGGGATACGTGGCCTTGAATCAGTTAATTAGATTTAAGTTATAGTAATGTGTAGTATCTGTTGAGCTATCTGTTGCTTACTGCAGCATGTCATAGCTAAGTTTTCTTCAATATGTCGGTGCACTCTGGCGTGTCAAATGTATCGCACATACATACGTCAAGCCAAGCAGTGATGATTTGGATTGGTTACGTGCTCTCAGTGCCCGAGGATTGTTATGCAGACGATAAAGACAAAAGGGTGCAGGTCATCTTGCATAAGGGTGGTGGTGGCGACCGACCATGTGACTGATACCAAGAATTATCTGAGCTTGGGCGGTCAAGAGCTGAGGATGAATTATTCTATTCCAGGCATTTGCTCCTAGCTGATGGACGAGAATCATGGTAACGGCGTTAGTTAGCACCCTACTTACTGTGGCGTATGGTTTGTGCTGAAATTGTTGGTGGTGGTTGGGAACGGAAAGTAGATGGTCGGTCGGGAATTCATTGCTCGAGAGCTACAGAGTACACGTTGCTACTACTAGCATTCCTTGAGTGGCTCGGACGACGAAGTCGCCCGGATGGTATACATCTCCATAACGTTAGTAGGGCTTAGTCTACGGAGGATTATGTTTTTAAGAGTTTTCATCAGCTCAAGGGAGTAAAATGAGAATAAAGGGAAGTGAGTACCATGACCTTAAGCCTGTCAGTTTATGACATGGCCCGGATTCCAAAACATAGCATTAGATCAATCAATCTATCATTATCTATCCTTTAACATCCCTTTTTGTAAAACCGCACCCGCATGACGCATGTAAACCAAAAAAGTATAAATATCGCTTGCAGTCCCAAACATTCCCTAATCGTAGAAATCCAATACCGACAAAGAGGTAAATTACACCGCTTCAATCAAAAGCGATTAATCAATGTACTTTGGAAGCGTCTTCAAGATGCCGTCCCGAGCAATGTCCTCCATAGCGTTGGTTATCTCCTGCATGAATCGCTTGTCGTTACGCAAATCGTCACCGAACAAACTCGTGATGCTCAGCAGCTCGGAGGGCTTAGTACCGCCAGCACGGGCCTTGGCCTGAAGCTCCTCACGCATGGGGTCATCGACAGTGAAAGTGTTACCCTGGTCATCAACACCATTGATGTAGCGGAACCAAGCAGCAGCGACGAAGCACAGACGGCGGAGAGGGCCCTTCACCCAGATGGCCTCGGCAATCGAGGGCATGATGAACTGGGGGATCTTGCCGGACGCGTTGAGACAGATACGGGGCAGCTGGTCCATGATGGTAGGGTTGGAGAAACGTTCCATGAGGGTCTTGCAGTACTGGTCGATATCGACACCAGGGATCTCAGGCAAGGACGGCTTGACCTCTTCCTGCATCATCTGCCAGACGAACTTGTTGAAGTCCGGATTTTCCAATACCTCGTGGACGTAGTTGAAGCCTGCCATCTGACCGGGGTATCCAATAGCGGAGTGACTGCCGTTAAGGAGACGGAGCTTGTGCTTCTCGAACTCTTCGACCGCGTGCACGTCCTTGACGACTTGGACGCCGACCTTCTCGAAGGGCGGGCGACCATCGGAGAACTGATCTTCAATGACCCACTGCATGAACGGTTCCGTGACGACAGGCCAGGAGTCCTCAATACCCATAGTGTTTGCGAGGGACTCCTTATCGGCGGGAGACGTCTGAGGAGTGATACGGTCGACCATAGCGTTGGGGAAAGCACCTTTATCAGTAATCCATTGAGCGACTTCGGGGTTGCGGAGACGGGCGAAAGACTCGAGCATGTGACGGGTGATGGAACCATTCTTCTGCATGTTATCGCACGACATGACGGTGAAGGGCATGAGACCTTGCTGGTGACGGCGGGCGAGGGCAGCGTAGAGGAAACCGAAGGTAGTACGGGGGGTCTTTTCGTTGGCGGGGTCCAGGTCGAATTGAATGTCCGGGTGCTCACTCTGGAGCTCGTGAGTGTTCTCATTGTAGTAGTAACCGCTCTCAGTGATGGTGAGAGACACGATGCGGGTATCCGGGTGCGCCATCTTAGCAATGACGGCTTCGCGATCATCAGGAGCAAAGAGGTAGGAATTGATGCTGCCAATGACGTTGGCAAAGCTGCCCTTGGCCGAACGTTCAATGACGGTGTAGAGATTGTCCTGGGAACTCAGGGCATCGCGCATGGCGGAATCGAAGGGCTGAAGACCAACACCGCAGATAGCGTAGTCTGTCACGCCGTGATTCTGCATCAGCTGGTCAACGTAGACGGCCAGGTGCGCACGATGGAAACCGCCCACACCGACGTGGACAATTCCCTCCTTGAGGGCAGGACCGCGCCGGTAGGTCGGGACCTTAACGCGGCCGGCACCTGCCGCCACGATTTGCGACAAATTCGCGGTGTTAAGCTTGAGAGGACCCATTGTGTATGGGAGGATGAAGGAGGAAGGAGAGGAGGAGGAGGAGAAGAGGAAGAAGAAGAAGGAGGAGAAGAAGAGGGTAAAAAAGGGAGGGAGAGTAGGGGAAGTATTTCAAAGCAGCCTGGGGAATGAGAAACAAAATGTTGAAGGAGAGCTTGGAGCTTCGCAGGGTCACCGCCGGTTTTGACCGCCGATCGCTCTGATCGCCGCCGAGTCTGCCGGGAATAGTATTACATCATGCGGTGGCGTTGTAAACTTCCAATAGCCTCGAATAGATGGATTATGGACCGGTAGCCTTGCTTTTTCGGACCGGTGCTGTCCAAGCAAGCCGCGGACTGGATCCATGGTGGATCGGGGGCCCCAGTTGGAGCACAAAGAAGGAGGGAGGAGTCGACGGACAATTGGCTCCATTCCGACCCATTGGAAGATGAACCGCGGTGGCGGGAATTCCGGTGAAGCTCCAGAATAATAGAAAAATTCAAATGTGTCGGTGCGTGGGGGGGAAAGGAGGGAAAGAGAAGACACAGTAGCAACATTGAACAATACGTAGTAGATAGAATGCAAATGCAGGTGAGCCAACGCAGATCAACTTCTTTCGGTCGCGCCGCACACGCGGGCTGCCGGCATCACCGGACACGCTCTTCGGACGAACCTTAATCCTGCACATTTATATTAAAGCAAGTCTACTTGTACTCCCGGACAAGCTAGCTACTTACTATACTATCTATCTAGAACCTACAGTATGTATCAAGTAAAATCAAAGGCCGCGAAGCCGAACAATTCTAGACCGTCAGGTGATCGGTCGGCAGCCGCGGGATGCCTCCAGGATTCTCAGCCCCTGACCAGTCCAATCCCGACCAGTCGAGAGATGCATAACGTACTTTGTCCGGGGTCAGCTTTTAGTGCGGGTGGCTATCAGAGATTTCTTTTTATTCTTTGGAGATTTTCTGATACTTCATATCTCACCTGCCCCTTTTGATACCGGACATGTGCCACCTGACTGCATCACCTGACCCCTTTAATTCCCCGACCCTCCATGAGCTGGCTGATCGGGCTGTTCTGGCTATTCTGCCCTGGTCTGGCCCTTCGAGGATCTGGTCGGTGTCTCAATGGCCCTCGGTGAGCCTGAAAATCCATCTCCTTCTCTGAGGTGTACAAAGTACAAAGTCTGCGGTGAAAAATAACCGAGAGATACAGCTCAACCTATTCCCTACTTTTCGGTCCAGATTATAATTGATTCTTGGGAAGAGATTTTACAAAGCTCCTTGAATCAGGCATCCCCAGGCATCTAACCTTATTAAAACTCCGAAATTCAATTGA